GTGTTATAGGCACAATCATATATGACATAAACTTTATGTCAACTTAAATAAAACTGCTTTCCAGCGAGACAACGATCGGCAAACAACTATATAATTATACAATACCACCTATGTTCTACCGGGACGCTTATTGTTATAGCCAGTATTTTGTTGACATTCATTGTGGGGTGGAATTGTGGCTGGGGTGGCGCCCTAGATTTGGACCCCCTCACCCCTATCTAGATCCGCTACTGCACATGGCCCCTCAAAACTCGCACCTGTGGTGCTCGGCTCCTGACTGCGTCACTCGTAGGGGTATGGGCATCAGTCGGTCGCATTTTGGCTAAACACCCCCCCCCCCCCCAAACAAAATCGTTATGTACGCCCCTGCGTACATGAGTCGACCAACCTCCGATGTCACCAAAAACACTGCGTTAGAAGACCCCCGACCCTTCCTTCCTCCCTTAAGAACACCCTTTTTACCCCCCCCCCCCACCCCGAGAGATGAGTTAATTCGACTTTCGTTAAAAGTTTCACTGTTTGTTCATTAGAACATAACACTTTAGTAGGGTGAATTACGACCCGATAGTAAATGTTTTATACGTCGTGCTAATCCGCACAGTATTACTCAATTCAGTAAACTATATTTTTATGGATCTTAATCCAACTTAATTATCCCCATTTATATCTATTTCATATTGTCTTATATATTTATGTCTCCAGTATTCTTTGTTTTACAGTTTAAATTGACCTTATAAATTGTAATTAACGTCTACAGGCTAAAGCGTTTCAAGTTACCATAGTGTATTGTTTTGTATAGACGATGGATTTGTAGGATTAATGCCCTAGGCGATGAATGGGGATATATAGACCCAAATAACAGAATTAGAGGGAAGCTTTATAGAAACCTGTCACAAAGAGATCAACTTCAGATCACATCCCTAGGGACAAACTTAATTACCTAGATTTGGATATTTGGAAACACAAGTTTATATCAATTCCCATATCCACATTGGAGCTTATTCACCATTAAGCATTGGACCAATAATTGTTACATTAATTGTCTTCTGTAAGTTATGTTGATTACTGTTAACCAAAGAATATATAGTAATATTAACAATCAACAAGAGTCATGTCTTCACTTCATCAACAACGAGAAATCCAGAAAATACATAAGAAGTGCACTTGTACAACACTAACTTAAGAACGCGAAATCCCATTATATCTCGGATAAGAACGACAAAACGCTGAAGGGGACAAGGGTTAAATGTTCTAAACTGACAATTTAAATACAACGAAGAAATAGCGTAGGGGAGATTCATATTAGGGACGTAAATCGGATATGTAAGGAATGCCTTAGAATTTTCGATCGAGTCAACAACTGTTACTGTCATTGTATTACAAACTGCAGTTCCTGCATTGAATTAGTAATGTCGTTTTAAGTTTTTTCACTTGTGTGTTTAAACAAATGATCATACTAATTAGGATAATAAAAAAAAACACAACACAATTTTTCGGAGGACATTAACTAGTTTTTTACACGACATTTCAGCAAGTATTCTCTTATCATATCAGGGGCGGATCCAGGAGATTTTGCAGGAGGGAGTTTGCCGGGTTCCTGTTAAGGAAATTTGACTGATGACCATGCATAATGCCATCATCGTCTCCAAATTACGTAGGCATACATACACACTGAGCTTTTTAAAGAGAGAAATCCAACAACCCATTTGTCATCCATTTTTATTATGAATTAATACGACCACATTGTGATCCAATTTCATTGATGCAAGGCATTAATTGTGATATCACATATGTGTATATCATTATCTAGCGCTTTGAATGCCCAACCCATCCCATCCCACGATCTGATGATAAAGTATAAAGCACACAACCGTGACACTTGTCTCGTAGAAAGTATTGTTTTACAAAAACTTTTATGTAGCTTAGCAGGGGTGGGGGGGGGGGGCTGTCCCTGCATATGTGTATCAACCAGTGATTTTCTTCTATATAAATTGTGTTGTGTTTTTTAAAGGACAATATTGGTGCCAGTCATTATCACATATGTGATAGAACTGGTTAAACACTTTTAAAATATTATTTCATCACAGAGACCATTGCTACTATAGATGAGTAATCAATGTTTCAACAATCGGAAGTGATGAACGCAAAAGGAAAACACGTGTTATCCCTCTATATAACTGACTGAAGTGACGGGTGATAACAGATACATGAGCGAATTTCTGCTCACTAAAAATTCCTTCGACAGGCCGGTCGGACAAAAAATGAAAAAATAATTTTGTCCAGTTCGACTAAAAAACCCTTTTCTGCTGAACATTATATGGAGGGGGGGGGGGTTGGACCGGCCATGGAGCGATGATGATCATGTTGTAAGGGGCCGGTGGTTTTAACGGGCCGCCACGCTATCACTGCAGTCTGGAATGGGCTGGTATAATAGACTTTCTCTGGGCGGGTGTGCTGGGTGTAGGCCGGAATTCGGAATCCTGCAATGGGGATTCCGAATTTCATCCGAAAATTTCATCGGATTCACCCGACACTGTCGCCCGCAAATTTACTAATTATTAAGTCACCTGCACCCTGTTTGTGTAGCACCATGGGTCGTTTGTCAGACGTGGAGAACGGTCAGCGCTAAACCCGGTCGCAACATCCGACGTATAACCCATGCATCGTTTTTTACTACTTATTCTGGAACAGCCCATGATCGTCTAGTATTGTCTCTGGCCGCATTTGTTTCTTATTTTCTTCTTGTAGGACTCCACTTTAAAGGAGCTATATCGCTAACATTTGGGACCTAGAAATTGACAAAAGTGGGTCGCAACGCATATAATACTGTAATATGAATGTATATAAACTGATTTACATTCAATGGTTTCCGTTTTTACTCCAATTTCAAATCAGTTATGTTTGGCGAAATAAGCCAGCAGTCTCAAGCGAGTGCAAATTTCTAGCGTCTGGTTATTCCAGTCTACATACGCCGTTTGATTTGGCGCAATGTGTCTAGCCTCGTACCTTGAGTCTCTTGATACATCTAGGGCTGAAGCGCATTATGGTACATGATTCGTGTACCAATGGTAAAATGTTTATTTTGTCTTAAATATTGGATATCAAAAGCCCATCTTTTTCCGGTAAGATCACAATATGAATGTTGATTTAATTTGACAAATAAATCGTGTTTTCAATGTTGAAGATTTTGGATAATATTGAGTTATACAACAATACCACATTTCGTTTCTACTAAGCACTGCTACATACAGGTTACAAAGTTACAAGCATAATAAAGTCATTCTCTCTAACCCGTTCTCATGCAGACTCGGTGAGTCTGCAGACTCGGTGAGTCTGCTGATGGAGATTCCTACATCTTCTCCCTACGAGAACTACATGGCTGTCTACCCTAGAGCGCACATTCTATTAATTATACATTCTCAGATTCACACCCATTAATTATTCTATTGGCTAATTATTATGTAATTAATCATGTGTTTGGTCACTCTTGCCAAAAATGAAATGGTAACTTTCCTACCACGTGTATTTCAAACAATAACAACTTATCCGTGAAAAATGCAAATGACCATCATGTTTACTAAACTCTAACTGCGTTAAAGTATCTAAACAACCAGCATACTTTCTCTATTTTTGGTTATGAAGTTAGAATCAATAATATGAAAGATAACGCTATTGTTAGGAGTCATCATATTTCTCCATTCTTTGTCTTTAGACCTCGTCTTGTTATTGTCACAAAATTCATGAACAATTTTAATTTGCACTTCAGAATTTAACGTATACCTTAGCTAATATTTTGGCAATGGAGAATAATTAATCAAAACCATAATATTATTTTGCATAGATGTTTCAAAGCACAAATTCTTTCCCTCCATATTACTACAGTTTGTGGGGATACGCCAGAAACGTCTGCCGATGGTTCGTAAAAAAATTCAATTTTAAGGCCTCAGCAAAATTTGATGATAGCTGGTTTGCTGGCTGAATATGAGTGCGAGACGATTTCCTGAGGCTGGTGTTATTGTCACAATATTCATGAACAATTTTAATTTGCACTTCAGAATTTAACGTATACCTTAGCTAATATTTTGGCAATGGAGAATAATTAATCAAAACCATAATATTATTTTGCATAGATGTTTCAAAGCACAAATTCTTTCCCTCCATATTAGTATACTACAGTTTGTGGGGATACGCCAGAAACGTCTGCCGATGGTTCGTAAAAAATTCAGTTTTAAGGCCTCAGCAAAATTTGATGATAGCTGGTTTGCTGGCTGAATATGAGTGCGAGACGATTTCCTGAGGCTGGTGTTAAACATTCCTTGACATTTTTATTAACTCGTTATTTTCAGAGATGAAATTACAGAATTGGGATGTCGAGAATGGTCTCAAATTGCGGGAAATGGCCTCCATTTCCAAACATTCAAAAATGAATTGTGTCCGTACGTCCATGCATGTCCGCTCCCATTCCGTCAACTGGTTAATCAAAATAATGGTCAAAATTTTCTCAACTAGTCCCATTTTTTAACCAGTTAAATTCTCTTGACTCTCGACGATACAATGATAATACGTTGATTAATAATATGACGATATGATAATTTCACAGGTTGATTTTTGTAAATTACTTGCAGGTCGGGGTTTTGGCCTAAATTAATCGATTTATGAGATATATTATTTGACAGAGATTATAATCAGATACTATTTCAAATACAAGCTAAACAACATTTGCGGTTTAGCTTATATTTGAAATAGTATTTCAATTTGCAAACCATGTCACGTTCAATGTTGTTTTCAATTTCAACACTCCACCAAACCTTTCAAACTGACGAAGAGCAAGTCGTTGGTATCATCATAATGGTCCCGATCACACGGTGGCGACACCAAACGACGTCATAATGATGGTTGCTAAGTAGAAGTATCAAAATTCTAAATTTGTTCGACTTTCATGCTTAACATGTAAAGCGACAAGAAAGTAGACATTTTTCGTCTTAATAATAGAAGTAAGATGAAACAGAATTAAAATTTATACTCAACAAAAAAAGAAGTTGGATTATACATTGTCTTAATATAGAAATTACAAGAATAGAAGTTAGAAATTACATGAATACAAGATAGAAATTAGACGATTGCATGTTAGAATTTTGAGTCTAATATACTGCCATATAATGGATCATTAGTGTTTTATTAATTACAGTAAATCATTTAGAAAATATGATTGGTCATAATTGTCAACACTATGTTTTGTTTACTTTATTTTTAATAGGTTACACAGGAGCCATGATTTCATCATGTCTTCAAATCTAGGAATTCTTCTGTGGTATTTTAACAGTCACCTACAATATGAAAAGAGAAAACTTATAAATAAACTGAAAATATAAAATACTAGCAGGATATCCGGATTCGCCCGGGGCTCCAATTCACCAGGGGCCCAAATTCATTGGTCTAAAACATTCACGTAATCATGCTGGTTAATTTACGACCACAATTCCATGTGGGCTGGCAAAGGGAGGATAACTCTGATACGGTAAGTTGCAGAATTATGAATCTGAGTTTTGTTATGGTTGGTCCTCCCATGACCACAATGTTTCATCCCATCAAATTTTGAAAGAATCCGTCAAATACTGTAGCCACTATTGCATTCACAGGCTAATTATTGATGGATAGACCTACAAACAGGTTTCAAAACTATCATAAGCTTTTTTATGTTCAAAACAGAAATATTAATTTTGCTCTTATCAAGAGCAGGCAAATCAAATCACTGGAAATCCAATTTTTTTTTTATCTAAAACTGATTTATTTTCACATCGTCAACAATCTTTTCTGGGAACACAGGTACTTTTAAAGATGTTATAATTGTTAAGGAAGAAATTATTTCGCTTAAATTGTAAAATGTCAAAACATTAATAACAAGTAATGAACAAAAAAAGGGCAAAAACATAAACTGATTCACAATGGATATTAAAATCTATTTTTGTATTTGTTTGTTGTCTACAGACTGCATTTCTTAACAGATCATCTTGAAACTTGCATACTTATTCCTTATACCCTAAAGATCATCCCTATTGTTTGTGGTGCATGCCCAATCCACAGAGGCTGAGCTATGCCCATTTTCTCGTTGTGTGTCTGTATTTCGCCTACAGGCCGCAATTCTAAATGGATCGTCTTGAAAGCTTTTCATACTTATTCCTTATACCCTAAGTATGACCTCTATTATTTTTTAGTACATTGTTGGATCCCCTGGGACAGAGTCCTTGCCGCCCCTCCCCCCCCAATTTTTGTGTGTGTGTGTCTCCTACATGCTGCACTTTCTGACAGATCCTTTTGAAACTCTGCATACCTATTCTTTATACGTACAAGGATGATCCCTATTGTTTTTATGTGAATGCCTGACCCCAGGGGCAGAGCCACGCCCATTTTCTCTTTGTCTGTCTGTGTGTTGCCTACTGGCCACAATTCTTAATGGATCATCTTGGAACTTGGTATGTGTATTCCTTATAGCCTATAGGGGCAGAGCCACGCACAATTTTTGTGTTTACAGTATACAACTCGCAATTCTGAATGGATCATGTTGGAACTTGACATATGTATTCCTTATAGCCTAAGGACGACAACTATTGATTTTGGTGCATGCTATGCCCATTTTTTGTGTTTAGCGTCTGAAGGCCACAATTCTGAAAGGATTATCTTGGAATTTGGTATACTTATTCCTTATACCCTAAGGACGGCAATTATTGATTTTGGTGCATATTCCGGCCCGCTTGGGCGGTGCCACATCTACTTTCTGTTAATATTCTGTCTGTAAATAATCTACCGGTTGCAATTATTAACAGATCTGGATCCAATTTGGCTGATCCATAATGGGGTTGTACCAACATGTATTTGTATTGTTCCAAATCCAACCCCCTGGGGCCGAGCCACGCCCAATTTTTGTGTTAATTGTCTACAGACTGCAATTCTGAATGGTTCATCTTTGAACTTTGCATATTTATTCCTTATACCATAAAGACAGCAAATATTTATTTTGGTACAAGCCCGACCCCCAGGAATGTGGATGTATATTGCAGAGGTACCGATGCTCTTGTTTTATAAGAAATCCAAAAAAAACTGTAATTATTTTCTTACTGTTTTTATTTCTGTGTATTCTTTCAATGCATACTCTCCCCTGTAAATCAATTTATAACAATTAGACATGAATAAAATACCAGAAAGAAATCCATAGTACTAAAACCAAACAACATTTTATTAAAACCAAATAACATTATATTAAAAAACAAACATTATAAAAATAAGCATCGTTGTTTTGCTTGTGTTAGGGGATTATATATGAATATATATTCAAGATTTATGCAAACCTTGTTGAAAATGATTGGTCTTCCCCTTTAAGAAAATGTCAAGCTTTATGATGGTCCTGGTTTAATGTTATGCTGTGTTATAATGTAATTAATTACAAACATTGATTTCATGAGATTCTAGAAATACACTTAATTCATTTCACAAGAATATAATCTTTACTCACAGTTCTCTGCCATGTCCAGATTGTTTGAATCCACCAAATGGAGTTTGTGTTGTAACAATGTCATAGCAATTAACCCTAAAATGAAAACCTAAAGTTAAAGTCCCAATTATAACAGACAATACAGGAGAACTGACCCAAAAATACAGGTAGAACAAACAATGGGGTTCTCCTTTTTTATGATTTTGTGGCAATCTGTTCCTTTTATGAACATTCAGATCCAATCACACTGTCTTAAAATAACTCTTTACAATCCATCGTCTAGCTATCTGATCCCCTACTCTTAAACTGAGCAAGACATTAAAACCAGGCTCTCACTGGCTTCAATCAAATGAGATATCAGTAGTTTGTTTAAGTGAAACACTATAACCAGACTCTCACCAATGTCAATCAAATGAAATATCAGACGACTGAGTGGTATACATCAATCAAATGAAATATGAGACGATTGAGCAGCATCCATCAAATGAAATATCAGAAGATTGAGTTGTATTAATAAAATGAAATATCAGATGATTGATCAGTAAATATATACAGAAGACAACCAAGAGAAAACATATTTATAATTTCCAACTCTCCTTGTTATTAGAGTCATTAAACTGAAGAATAACGACTTAGTATTTATTATTTGTAAAAAAAATATGTAGGATGTAATAAATTAAATTCAGACTTCTAGAACAAAGGAGTGAAAAATTTAAATAAGCTTAATTTAAATTTCAAGCATACAAATCGTACAATTTATGTTTGGTTGAGCAAGGCTAATATAATGCATTAATCAGAAACTAACTGTGTGTTCCTGAGTCAATGCATCCAGAAAGTATAATAAACTACCTTCAAACCCCGACAGACGTCTAAAGTAAAATAAATTTAAATTTAATTGAAAAACTTATCTGTTTCCGTTTTAATAAGTCACTGGTGTTTTATGCGGCTTGAGCACATTTAAAGGATTGTCCTTGAACTATGTTAGTTTTGTATAAACCAACCATTGTATAGAGTAGGCCTAAACACTTAAGGTCAAGTTAATAAGTGTTTGACTGTCCTCAATGGGTTTTAGAATCTAATTTGAAAATAATGTCAAAAGGAGTCAGGCTTGGATTTAAATTTGAAGATCTCTTAAATTGGACAAGGGTCTAAATCTGAAATTCTGTCAAATAACATAGGTCCGAAATTTGAAGATCTAATCTCTCATAACCCAATATTTGAAAACACTTCTCAATTGAGGAGTTCACGTTCATTCTTTCATAGAGTTTTAGGTCTGCTTCCAAGTAAATTTGAAGGTCTGATATACAGTACTGATATTTCAGTTTAAGGGGGGAGGCTATCCGAAAATTTATATTCTAAAATGTTAAAGCTAATGAATTGAAAATAGGACAAGTAGTTAGGAAATGTAATAAACAAGGGAAAACTAGCATTAAAAAAAGTTGTTGCCAGGGTAACTCATTATGAAAAACGTAGGTACACTATATCTCTGTAACTATTTAAGATATCTTCGTCAAATTTGCTGGATATATAAACTAATCTTGTACCACAGAATCAGACAGAAAGCAATTTGAATTATCATTAATATTTCAAAAGTTATCAAAATATTTCTCCAAAGACAAAATATTGTGGTGAGGCAAATGTTTTAAACACCATTTTCCCAAAAAATATAAAAAATTATAGAGAAAAATTCTGTCTGGTTTTAGGGGTATCATTAAAGAATAAGCACTACAAAAATCAGACATTTAGCTTTATTAGTGCCAGAGATATGGTGTACCTACGATTTTCATACTTTTTGCAAAAAAATGTGTTACCCTGGCAACACTTTTTTTTCTCCATTTTTAACGTTAGTTTTCCCTTGTTTATTACATTTCCTAACTACTTGTGCCATCTTCAATTCACTAGCTTTAGAATTTCAGAAAGCAATTTTCGGGTAGCCTCACCCCTTAAAGGTTGGATAATTCTTACCAAACAGAACCAGCCTGGATACTTTGAGCAAACATTAGAGCTTTGTTGATATCATTAGTAATAATGCCAGCCGCCAGACCATAATTTGTATTATTAGCCCTCTCTATTGCCTCTTCTATTGTTTTAAACTTAATAATGGACTGAACAGGACCAAATATCTAGAAATAAAATAACACAGAGACCCAATAAATATTCAACTATAATCAGGTTTAATGTGGAAACATTAAAAAAGTCAGATGGTGTTATCAGACAATCACTTTAATTAAGTACCCAGTTTGTCTCGGTACCTTTTTATTTAAAATTACAAAGTAGCAAATTTTACAAGTAAAATGGTGGGAATAAATAATATTCATTTCAGTACTCAATAGAGAGAGAGTGAGAGAGAAATGGGGTTTAACGTCCACTCGACATAAACTAGATCATTTTGGGACTAACATATGGTTCAATTTTATTTTAATAATTCGCTGGCACGTAGGGGTCTTTAGCAGTGGGAGGAAACCGGAGGACCCGGAGAAAACCCTTAAGGTTGGACAGGCGACCCTACTCCTTGTCACATACAAGCGGGGAATCAAAACCACGCTTTAACCATTCAGCCACCACTCCCCCCACTCCAACACCAATAAGAACCAACTATGTTGCTAATAAGTGATTTAGCACTGTTTTTCATAAATTTATGGAAAAGCAACTGAAGCAAAATACTAAGTTGTTTGTTATAAAATAGGATCCAAATGAATACAAGGAATCAAATGGATATGTAATTGCTGCTTCTTCACAAAAGTCCCATGCACCAGGAACTAGGTTAAATTATCAGTTAACACCAATTGTCACATATCCAACATATTTTTAGAATTTTTATAAAATACAAAAAGATAACATCTAACAATTTTTCATCAATATTAAAGAGACAGGCATAGATACAAAACCAAACAATAACAAAAGCAACAAAATAGGATCTGTGTTTGAATCAGATTTGAAAACTGTTTGAACACGCACCTCTTCTTTAGCTATTCGCATATTATCCTGAACATTACTGAATACTGTGGGTTTTATGAAATAGCCTTTATCACCATGTCTTTTTCCACCAGCTTGTAATACAGCTCCTTCTTGTACACCACTATCAATAAGACTTAATATCTTCTTAAACTGGGTTTCATCAATCTGTTGGCCAAACACATATATAAATCCAAAAGCTTAAAGAATGTATTAACTATGAAGGCCTGGATAATAATTAAAAGTACTGTTGGGTGCTCCAGAAAGAATAAGCATAATCTGCCTCATGGCTCACTGTAACACTATCTTACAGATAACAGAAGATCAGCATAATTGATAAGACCTTTATTGAGAACATGAAATAGGCATAAATCGGGAAGAGCTCTATTCCAAGTCTGACTTGCTGTCAGTAAACGCCTGCTTATATAGCGTCCAACAATTAGGGGAGATGGACAGGAGTGATAATCATATATGGTATTGTTTATTATCAAATTATGGTGTTTGTAATTACACTGCATATTTCTTTGGAAGTCATTGTCAGGTCAAGGTATGATGCACTGACCACTAATACATTCTCTTTGAAGTTCTGTCGAATTATACACGGCTCACATGTAGCTTGTAAAGAACATATTGAATAAATTAGATGTTTAATAAGATCGTGCCTTAATAAACGTTTATAGAGACTTTAAACGTCAACTTCAGGTATAGATCACTTTGTCACACCACACCCATAGAAATAAATTATGTTTAACCACTTGTCCTCAGTCTACGTACTAATATTAACATTCTTTATGAAATAAATGTAAATGGGCGGAGAAGGTCAGAGAATTCGGGAGATGGGTGTATGAGGTCATGGATGTTGAGTCAAGAATCAGTAGTTTGAACACATGACTTGCATAGATAACAAGTCTTTATGATTGACAACAAATATTTTAGGTCACTCGGCAACAAATATTGACCCACCCAATGCGATCCACTGCTCAATATACATTATCATAACAGCTTATCTGCAGATATTTGTATTTAAAGGAGCCCATTCTTTGCCACCTAGAAATGAACAAAAATGGGTCACAATGCATATAACAATGTAATATGAATGTATATAAACTGATTTACAGTCAATCATTTCTGTTTTTACTGTAATTTCTAATCAGTTATATTCGGCGAAATATGCGAAGTGTCCAAACTGAATGGCAGTCTTCGGCATCTGGTTATTCCAGTCTACACCAGTAGTATTCTCCTGTGGGGTATGTTTAGCCTCATTCATCGAGTCACTTCATTATAAATTTCACTCGAATGCATTCTGGCACACAATTTGTGTGTCTTAAATATTGGATATCAGACGTCCATCTTTTTACAGTAAGATAACAACATCAATTTTGATTTAAATTGACCAACAAGTCATGTTTACAATGTTGAAGACTGTGGATGATATTGAGTTAACGACTTGCCTCCTTTAAAAGCCTGAAAACATTAGCAATCACTCTTCATAAAATGGGGAGACAACCATGCCTACCTGTGAACCATGTGCAGTCATGGCATCAAATGGATCTCCAACACACCGGTTTTCGGCCATCAATTTTGCTTTTGAAACAAATTCATCATATATGTCTTCTTGGACAAGAGTTCTAGAACCGGCACAGCAGTTCTGACCCATGTTGGTCATAATGGCAGAATGAGCCCAAAGGGCAGCATTATCAACTGTAATTAAAATGAAAAGCCAGTCAGTTAGTATGCAATCTTAATTAAATTGTTTCTGCTATACAAATCATTCGAACAACTATAGTACATTATAAACAGGTTATCAGGCAACCAAACATACCCTAACAAGCACTAAGTCTTCCAGGCAGTCCATAAAGGTTATTGCAGCCAAGTTGGACATTTCTATTAGAGATTCAACACAAAGGTTTCTTGTATCGCTCAAATCACGCTCACATACTTTAATTAGCAATCAGGTGTTTCATACCAAAATATTGATAATATTTTTTCACAGTTTGACATACTATATTTATTTTACAGTCAGTACACTGAACGTGGGAGATTTAAAGATATATTTCCTACTGTCATAAAACTAAAAGCACAAAACAATTGATTGGCAAATATATTCAAACGACACAGAAAGTATAATTTACAACTCAAACCATGATAGCTAACAAGCTATGAAAGATGAAAACCAGCCCTATTTAAATTCAAATCTAAAATTACCACCATGACAAGTACATATGTATCTTAGCGATACCTGAAGAAGACTGTTTACCAAATGAAAAAGATATGTGTTAAGAATATGTAACGTCTAAATTTCTCAATTATAATAAATGCTACATGATGGTGACTAACTGTTAATATATTTGTATTAAAACATTAAACATTCAGTAATATTCAGTTCAGTTTGTTTTCAACTTGCTTTCTATTTCATGAAGTACAACTTCAACTAGAATAAAATTTGAGTAATAGGCTGCCTTGCTTGTAATTAGCACTCAATTACAGCATAATCAATAGCATATAGCCTCCATAGTCGTACAAAACCATATATTATCACACTTGTTGAAATGAAATTCATATTCAGACATACACACACACTTTCTCTCCTTTCGACAGCCCCGATTAGTAAGTAGGCTTAAAAAAAAATTGGTTCCTTCACTAATTGAAAACAATATTTTTCCCGCAAAGGATCTATTTTAAGTAGAAAAGACACCTTCTTGTTTCATTATCTGCCCCTGAACTCGATAAAATTACATGTCAAAGAATACAATAATGTAAATCAATAGAAAAAATTTAACTTCCTATCATAGGGACAATGATTTAGAGAACAAGCCAAAGGCATTTGATTTTCGATGAAATGCTGAGGAGAGGAAATTAATTCTTTTTTTGTTCAATCCAACACCGGCAACACATACCATCTGCATCAGCTAAAATGATTAAAGGACTTTTTCCTCCCAGCTCCAGGCTAATTCGCTTTAAATTACTTCTTCCAGCAGCTTGCATAATTAATTTACCAACCTGAAGAAAAATGAAAAGAAATCAAATGGGGTATAATAACCAGACTTCGAGGGGAATTTTGCCTAGGCAGCGGCATTACGGGCTACACTTATTTAGAATTCCAACCTCAGTATTTTATCCCATCTGAATGGAATAGTCACTGCTATTTGCCAGATTCTCCACTCTGCACCAATGCCAAGGAGAAATCATGCTGGAAGATCCCAAGGAACATTTCCAGCCAACACTTTCATCAAACCAGGGACCTCATGGTTATCAAGCCAGCACTTTACTCACTGAGTAATAAATTATTACATACTCTGATTCATTCGCTCTAGGCTCACTTCATTTAGTTATAATTCATTAGACTGAGTATTGCTCATGAATGAAGACAAATCAAACACAGGTAAGTTTCTGCGTCGGAAGTGATAACTTTTTGTCCATTGAAAGTATTATTTAATACGTATTATCCAGCTTCGTTTTGTTTTGTTCATAGAAATATAATTGATCAAAGGGCGTATGGCTCTACTTTTTTTACCCTTGAATTAGACTGGGCAATGTGCGTTGAATCATTTTTCGTTATTCAGCAATAACAAATAATGAGATGGCTCATTTCGTTATTTGTTATTCAACTTGTTATTCAGGATTCAAATATGCAGCTATTCCTGTAGGTATCGTCATCTCAGATCATTCTATTCTGACCAACTGGAATGCCCGGTTAACAGACTTGTCGGGTGTTCTTTTTAAACTAAAATATCCCCATATGAGTGATAGAAAAAATGCTCTTTTTCATGTCAGCTGTAGTGTGTTTCCACAGTCTGCCGAACTGTCATCAGAAATATTCTGATTGACATTAACAGATTTAAGCTCGGAAGTCATTTTATTCAAAGGATAAAAGAAATATTATTCAGACCATTTTTCAATGTAAAATATCAATGTAATTTTCAACTGAATGGGTAATCAACGATAAACCACCTCTTCATTACTATGGCGATGTATATTGTCGCATGCAGTTATAATATCGATCATAATTATAAATATTGTGTATAAATATTGTGTATAAATATTTCGCGATATTTTTTAGAATTATCGCGATATATCTTGATAACGTGATATTTGAGATTTCAGACGATAATTTTATCGCCTGACCTAATTATCGCGATATATCGCCATCCCCGGGGTATCGCAGCAACCTTGTCTGATACATGCCAATATCACAATGAACCAAGATCTCTTAGCGATAGACCTATAATTTAAGTTTTGTCAAAATCGGATACAAATTGTGACCTGTAGAGTGTCCACAAACAAATTGTGGACAGACAGACAGGGGCAATGGCATAATACGTCCACATGAAAATGTGAGCATATAAAAATCTAATTTCACCCAACTTAAATAGATGTTCAACACGTTTATCATGATCCCCTTCATGTTCCATTTACTAATTTTCCTAGACAAGGCCTTCAGTGTGACTGATCCTAAACTATGGAAAGATCTCCCAGATTCTGTAAAATCATCTTTAACATTAGATTAGACAAATTTAAACAATCATTATAATTGTGCATTCCTGGAATAAATAAAACTCTGCTAAAAGTGATTAACTGACATTGTCACATATTGTGTACTATATGTTTGTTATGTTCTTTAATATTTGTGTGTTTTGTAAAGCACCTTTGAATGCTGATGTGCAGCAGTAACAAGTGCTATACCAAAGTCTGATCTTGGCTGCCCTTAGAACCTAGATCGAAACCCAAATTTTATATACTTAAGCTTAAATGTTAAATAGCCCTAGTTTTGCGCAACCTTAATAACCTTGAAGACTTTGTCAAAGCGCCCAGGTCAGAGAGTCATGTCAGAATTAAGTCATGATACTTCCATATATATCATCATTAAACCAAAAATAAAAGCCATCTCTAATAGAATCTGAAACCTGACACTACTGCATCATCTAGGACTGGAAATATGAGATTAATAGACATGATAATGTATTTACAAAAAAAAATTGATATCTTTAGTCTGAAATTTGTAGTCGTAATATGAGTAATATGGGTTAATTGTACATCTACCACAGCACTGTCTAGACACATTAAAGGTTACAATAAAATTTCAACTTTGCCAACATCAGCAATATCCCTAAATATTAAATATCCAATATTTTTTTAAAAAAAAACTCAAGCTATAAATTTTGACAATATAAAAGACAGAATAGGTTAAGTTGTAAGTAAATGACCAGTGCCTTTAAAGAGTAGTATAATCAGGATCCATGTTGCAGTGTTGACTAGGACACTAAACCCAGTTTAGTCAGTTTTGGGTCTTGTGCACAAAACAGTAATCAGTCTTCTGCAGCAAATTGTTCCTGACTTTGTGTCAGTTAGATGGGCTTGACTGATCGTCCATCCATCTCCAACAAAGTGTCAGAGTTAAAAAAAAATCTATTACTAAATGCACGTTTTTGTAACATGGTTGTTTGCTTCAGTCTGTGAGGTAGGAGGTCATTTAGGACATCATGTTTACTTTTATAAGCATGTCATCAATATCCTCTGTATTTGAGATTTTTAAGCACATCATCCATTTAAAAACTCCCCACAAAATATCTAATCATTTTTTTTCACTGGAAAGTAAGTCTACATATAACAGGACACAGGTCACCAATCATTCCTACCACATGTCAACTATTACTCCTACCACTGGTCACCAATTATTCTTACGCCATCACCCACAAAACAAAGGCCAAAGTTATGTTTAGTCTTTCTCCACCTTTCCCCCTTTTGCATGGTAATCTTTGTTGACTTTCTGGTACAGAATCGAAGGTTAAGGGTTTGAATATTGATTGTCTGCCAGGTTTTGGTGACTCTATGACTTTGGAGCAGACGGATATGAAAGTTAAGATGTTGGTTAAGTTAAAATGTAGGTAGGACAGTTGCATGTTTACTTGTGTGCTACTTCCAGTTTTTGTATCTCAAGTTTCCCATGATGAACCTCATACCTGCTTTTGAGCAAGAGGTTGCCACAGGTTACTCCATTTGTGGTAAAAAAGCATTCAACCCAAAGGAGAATTTGGGGAAAGTCAGAGCTGGTCTAAGAGATGAGAATTAACATTAAAGTCAATGGGGAAATAATTGGTGATCTGTAGCCAACAGCTGTCGGGAAACCCGTGGGAGTTGTCTCGATTGTCAAGATCTGTGGTCAGACACATAAGGATAATGTTGCCTGGTTGTCCAAGACAACCTGCACACTTCTAATAATAACACTGCTCTATGGGTTTGGCAAACCTCAATGTTGACTTTTCAAATTGAAAATGATATACTGGTATTTACTAATTTCTCAACTGACAATAGTAACTTATATGATTAATAGGATTATTCTTAACACATGAAATGAAATGAAATGAAATGGGGTTTAACGTCCTACTGTTCTGCTCCTAACCTGGGCTAATGAAGACGGGCATACGCCATACAGTGTGCTATGAGGGAAATTTTGCCCGGACAGCGGCACTACGGCCTACTCTTATATCGAATTCCAACTGTCAAGGGATCTTTTACGTGCACGCCAATGTGTACACGGGACCTCGGTTTTTCGTCCCATCCGAACGACTAGACAGCTTTCCTTGTCAGCCCCTCCGTCCTGCATCACTGACAAGGGAGAACCACGCCGGAAAATCTGGATGAACTTTCTCGGCCAATGCAGGGATCGAACACCCGACCTCCAGGTCTTAACACATGACTTAATAAATTGCAACTATCGCTTTAATAAACCTGATACTATTTTTGTTCCATTTATCAAATCAATGATATGTGTAGATAAATGTAATCATTTTCTATGATGTTATCTACGATATGTAACAAAATACTTTCATATCCTAATCCATTAGTAAACACGATCTTCACGCTAAAAGAAAAACGAAAAACGTCACAGAAAAGGAAATATTTTAGTTTGTCTTAACATTAAAAAAAAAATATTTATCTTCGGTGTTTCCATATTTGGTATATCTACAGTGATGACCAAATCGGATGTTTCCAATTCAAGCAAATAATGTACATCTATTTTGAAATTTTTTAATAACATGGCAAAAACTATTTACATGACAGATGTAAACTGTGAAAGTTGTACATCATCCAAACCATGGCAAAGCAAAAAGATAAAGTTCATATTTCAACAAAAATGGTAATTTCAAAATATATTTGACAAAAAATTGTAATTAACTGAAAAAATAGATGTAATTATATGTGTAATTTGTCTTTTCTTCAAATACCGGTAAATTCCCAATTTTTTGTTAGATAACGTGTCTTAGAAACAAACAGATATTCTTTCAGCAAAAGAATAACCTAGATGTGTGTTATATTGGCAGAAACAACCCCGTCTAGAGCTACGTCAGGATGGGGCTTTGTCCCACTTTATAATGCAGAATAATTAATTTGCGATGTTGCTTTGCTTTCTATCTATTAAGTTTTTCAACAACGTATACAGTGGACTATGTCACCGTTACGGGATCGATATAATATGCCGGATTATACAGCATAAAGGAATACTCAATTGTTTCAATAATGGAAGTATTATTGAACCTCAAATACCGGAATTTGAATGCACCTTTGAATACCCAAAACATAAAATATGATAAACCTTTTTGTACATTTAATTACACAAAATTTTTACGTTTTTTTACTTCAGGCGCATACAAAACACCTGTGAGGCATTCTGCTGATGTCTTCAAATTTAGAGTTTGAGTAAAATCGTTTCTTACTGTTTCTTATATCACAATATTCATATTGATCAAGAGTGACAGGTTAGTTGCTGAAGCAACGATTATTGAAGTAAAGAAGTAGTACCGACATCGCTAGCCATTTTGTAATTTACACGAGATATGATTGCAGTGACAAATAAGACGTATATGTTTCAGCCAATGAAAAGATAGGTTGCCAGGCAACGAAACATACGCCCCCCCCCACTCAATTTGTTTACTTACAGTTTAATTGTAATTTCACTGAATATTCAATAATCATCAAATTTTTGCCTTACTATTCTGTTCATCAAGTCATATAGGGTTTTTTGCCAGTGAGTTCAGTGACTAGATTTTCAATTAGACATGACTCGATTTTATGGAATACAATTACTGTGAAAATTTTTCAACCAGTCATTAAAAAATCGACATTTTTGACTAGGATTCTTTAGTTTTGATCACTTGCTTGTCAAAACATCAGCAGTAATAAATAGTAATTGTATTCCATTTAATTTGTGTGTTGTACATTTACATTTTCATTACTAAATGTAATTGAAACAGTCTATCAGACTTCCCAGTTTTTAAAGATTAATAAGATCTGTACATGTTATATGGTTTGTATCGAAGAAATCTCCTACATCAAATCAAATGCATTTGTCTAAGATGGTTTAATATAAAACATGACACATTTCTTCTACATTGTTACATAATATATACTAAACAGCAAAAAAAAAAAAAATGTTCGTAAGATTTCAAAATCAGAGAGGAACTTTAATCAAATCATTCTAGAAAACAACTAAATGGATCAAAGCAATTTTTTGTGAACAGTATGTTGACACATTAGTGATTAATTCATCACAATTCCAAGACATTACAAGAAGGTTTAGAGTCTATACACAGTCAATACATCAGTCAATAATAGCAGCACAGTGTCTGTACATGGAGGGGACCAGACGATTGACGAATGCCATTGGCACCTTAAACCACACTCTCAGAAAAGCCTGGCGCAATCCATCGACTGTGTTTGGTCTCGGTACGACGTTATTAAGTCTCCTCTTAATTTCATCCCAAAGATGTTCAATCGGGTTTTAGTCCAAACTAAGGGCTGGCCAGTGCATAATGATGACACCATTCTGTTAAGCTGGCGAAATGTGGTATGACATGGGGTCTGAGAGCTTGATTGATGTAGCGCATTGCTGTGCTGCCACCTCCTCTCCCCGGACCAAGATTTTGGAACACCACAGGACCCACTCTCTGGTTCAGGCCGATTCCATCCCAAACCATTTTGCATGGACCTCCCCTGGAGTATGTTAAACATACCAACCTGACGTTTCTTTTGATGCTTAGTATATGTTACTCTTCTTTCAAATACTAATATCTTTCTTATTCAATGCTCAACTCAAATAAATTAAATCTTATATGATTGCATTCAAGATTTTATTGAAATGCAATTTGACTGATTGTAGAAAATTGCATGATGTGTAAACTGCAGCTTTGTAAAATCTTATCATGTTCTCAAAATGTCATGTTTGACTCAAAGCTTTTAAATTTGTATGCTTTCAATTTAAATTCCAGTAGAAAAAGTTTAAATCTTATTGCATTTCTTATGGAAAGCCACTAATCAGATTTATCTGTACTTCTAACTTTATTTTTAGTGCAGTTTTGAAATATTTCTAGATAAAGAAGATCCTGTTAAAAATCCTGATCAGAATCCTAATAGCTCAGTTTCATGTTTTGTTCCTAGTAGAATATACAGTCATTAGGCAACTGGTTGCTGCTTTGTGTAGATGCACACATTGAATGAATATATACTAGAATTATTTTCTACAATATGAAGATGTTTATAAATTACTTGGTAATAAGTAGTGAAAAGGGCCAGTTGTTCCCTTAAATTTAGAGTCACAATTCAAGAGACAAGTTGAGTGTTCTCAAAGGAAAATAATCAACAATAAGGGCAATAACTCTGAGAGTATTTACTGGACATCGTCTAAATTAAAGGCAAAATGGCGGACCTACAGACAATATACTACCAAATTTCAATAGAAATGATTGTGTCAAAGGTGACACCATAAATCAGTAAATCTAGCACAAATATTATAAATCAGACCATCTTGCTATAGTATGCTTACTAATAACTTTGGTTCATTATGACTATTTCTTAGTAAAATAATAACTAAATGAAAGTGTAACACCTATTGTGATACACCGTACATTTGTTTACCTCTGTTGATCCAAATTTCAATAGAAATGATTGTGTCAAAGGTGACACCATAAATCAGTAAATCTAGCACAAATATTATAAATCAGACCATCTTGCTATAGTATGCTTACTAATAACTTTGGTTCATTATGACTATTTCTTAGTAAAATAATAACTAAATGAAAGTGTAACACCTATTGTGATACACTGTACATTTGTTTACCTCTGTTGATCCAGTAAAGGCAACTTTATCCACATCCATATGTTCAGATATAGCTGCTCCTGCTGTTGATCCATAGCCTGGTACAACATTTACAACACCTGGTGGAAAACCTGCCTAAGATATACAAAACATTAATAAAGGATTAATTTAGCTGTTGCAGATTCAATATATTCTGTTCACATCGTTGAAATAGTTTCAACCATGATGAACCCGAAGAACAAACAGTTTATGAAGGGAACTGTCATTTTAATCATCTCTAGCACTAAAATTGTCCATATATATTTTCAGAGGCTGCACCCCCTGAAGCCTAATCACAGTCACAGTGCTGTAAGACCCCCAGTTAGATTTTTTGTGACAAACGGTTAGTAACTAATCAATTAACAACACCCCAATCCAAAACCTGTGTAGGCCCCCCACCCGTCTCCACTTAAAAGCTTTATCTACTTGAACGATATACTGCCCTATATCATATTTAGTTATGTTGCTATAAATGTCTTTGACAATTTGGATTATCTGTGTTCTGTGTATGTACTTATCAGTGTTAGAACTGCTCGATCTATAAGGTAGTAATAGTATGCATGAGTGTGTGGACAAAAAGAATAACCTGTTCTTACTTGTCAGTGGAATTAACAAATGTGTCTTTTTGGTCAGATGGGCCACTAAAATTGAATTAAAATTTCTCAAGCCCAGTTTTCTCTTATTAGTCGTGGTGCCCGAGGGGCTGACATGGACAGTGTGGAAAGTGGTTGGGATGGGACACATTGGTGTGCACATAAAAGTACCCTTTGCGGTTACAATTCGAATTAGAATTGGTAGAAATGCTGCTCTCTAGCCAAAATTCTCCAGTTTGAAGTGCACACCTAACCAATGAAATGAAAATCACAATATGTTAAGTCTCAAAAACACCATAGTATTAAACCCCATTCCTTTAACAGTCTTTCAAATCAGATAGCCATTAAGTACCTCCTCTAGTGATTTGCATCCGTTTGTGCAGATTTATTTCTGAGATCATGTTCCCAAGTGGCAGTAGAACATTAACCGCATTTCATCTTATTTCTCAAGTGGTAACATTCAACTGTGTCTGCCTTCTTATCATATCAAAACTTTCTGAAATCCTTCTTTCCCAACTTGTCAACAATAACGAAGATAAACCGACACCTCACTGACATCAGATTTTAATCCAATTAAACTACTGCTTCTACAGTCTTTAACAAATATTTTTCAAATTTCGTCCTTGAATAAGACAATTCATTCCAGAATTCTTGTCTACCCAGCTGTCAATGGTGTATGAAATTAAACAACCAGCAATATACGCCCACATTTTGCAAGGGATGGATTGAGAACAAGCTAAAAACAAAAGCGATTTTTCGTACAATCTGGGGCCATAATCCAGAAAGTTATGATCTGAAATGCACAAATATCGAAAGGGGCTGAGATCTTTGGGATATAAAGATGTATATTAAGTTTCAACAAAATCAAATAAAAATTGTGACATCTAGAGGGTCCACAACCTTTGTATTACATACAGCCAATTTGTCAAGCAGTTTCATTTCATTTTTCCCAAAATTCGAATTCAATCATCATTAGGGTGGAATGTTGATATATTTAAACAGTTTGTAAATTGGATAAAAATTGTGACCTCTAGAGAATCCACAAGCTAAAAATAATGATTTTTCTTATAATCAGGGGCCATAATCCATGAAGCTATGTTCAAGTTTCGTCAAAATCGGATAAAAATTGTGACCTGTACAGTGTCCACAAACAAATTCTGGACGGACGGAAAGGGGCGACGGTATAATAAGTCCACATGAAAATGTGGGCCTATAAAAAAACAGCTGCACTTTTTTGGCAACATAAGTTTGGTCTCTTTCTCAGATTTAAAGAGCTCAAGGTTAAAGGGAGGTAATCAGACTTTACTTGAATCAAAAGAACCGATGCTAATAACTGGTTTACGTTTATGAATGTAAAGTGCATTATATCACATTACTATTATATTATTTGCATTATGCAAGAGCTAAATCTGCCTATTGCAGGTCTTTCTTTAGGCTTTAAATTTTATCTAAATTATTAATTAGACATTAATTAACTTATCCAGAACATAATCACCTCGTGATGTTATCGCTAGCCTGTGATATTTTCTGGATTAGGATCTGATTTGCTCTCAACTTTCATTCATGATTAAATCATGAAATGGATAATCGAGACTATGTTTTTTATCGTACCGTCTTTAGTAATGTAATGATGATCCAAAATTCAATCGCTAAATTCCCTTTACATTATCTAGTTTTTAACTATTATAGTGGGAACTGCCAGCTCTTTGTCTAATCTCCCATAATGTATCTTTAATATAGCTTTTTATTGTACTTTTACATTAGTTTACCATAACCTACCTCTTTAAATAAAGCACAGCAATATAGTGCTGTCAATGGTGTCTGCTCAGCAGGTTTTAGTACCACTGTGTTGCCACAGGCTAATGCTGGTCCTAATTTCCATGACAACATGGCAACTGGATAATTCCACTATAATAGAAATAAAAAAACATACCACTAGATTGACATAATTTTTTTTTTATTATTGCTTAAAACTATTTGTTATATTCCCAATTTTTTAAGATCGTGGTTTTGATGCAGTCACTAATTGTCATTAAAATTAGTTGCCTGTTTTTGTTTTTTTAGAATTTTTGTTTTTGACTCTGTAATTACTAAAATGATTAAAACAATTACCAATCCCACTCCTATACAATCTTTACACAAATCTATTACAGACAATCATAACCATTTCTGTTTTATTTTTTACATTGTTATCGTGATAAAATGCAACACAGTGCCATTGATAGCTATACTCTAAATTTGTTTTTGTTTAAGTAGTGGTTTGCATTATAATGGTTTGAAAACAAGAAAGTTCTAATATTAGATAATAAATAAGACAATATCCTTCTTCTATACATAAACATTGCTTCCTCTTCCTAAGGCTATTTATTCAGATAAAAAAAAATCAATAATACTTTAAAATATTACAATTTCAATTTCAATATAAATTTAACCTATTTTAAGGAGTGTGGGTAAACAAGGAACCTCCATTAAGTCCATTTACTTAATTGCACCAGAGCCATTATTGCACCTTGATCCAGCACTGGTATAATGACAGTTTATTTATACTAAGCAGTAAAAGAAACGTCAGGTGTATGTTACTCTGAATAGACGCATTGCATAAAACTTGCCAAAGTTTTTATTGTATATTTGTGACCACATCTCCAACTTTACTTTAGCAATAAGGCTCCTTCCCAAACACAGAACTGAACCCAGGATATGTTCTCAAAAACGCAACCTGACTTCTGAGATGGTAATATGTTCTCCATGATTTTCATGTAACTCATGCTGCGCGTGCTCTTCGCCGGGACCAGCCCTAAAAAATGCACACCCATACCTGGTTGAATCATTCACACTACAACGTCAGCAGCATGCCACGACTCATGACAGCTCAGAGGAACCAGGCCCTTGGAAGACTCGATGCTGGCCACACTGTCCAAGCTATTGCCAATCACTTCCAGGCCAATGTTTGGACCATCTACAGGCTTCAGCAACTGGCCACCAACACCACAGATGGTCGTCCCCGAACTGGTAGACCTAGGGTTACCACAAGGCGACAAGACTGCCCTGTTGTGTGACAGCATGTGCAGAATCCCTTCACACAGGCATCTGAGACAGCATGTCAGACAGTGGGAACATCCATTGCAGTAGACCTTACCGTGGACCTATCCTCACCCCTCGCCATCGACATAAACGTCTACAGTTTGTCCAACAACACCGGAACTGGCGACACAGGCAATGGAGAACTGTTCTGTTCATAGATGAGAGTGGGTATTACGTATCAACTGCAGATGGCAGGACCAGAATATGGCGTTGACGTGGCCAGCGTGTCATGGAACGAGACTCGTGGGGAGGTCTAAGCATAATGATTTGGGGTCGAACCGGCCTGAACCAGAGAGTGGGTCCTGTGGTGTACCAAAATCTTGGTCACAGCAGTGCGCTACATCGATCAAGCTCTCAGACCCCACGTCATACCACATTTCGCACGTCATTGAAACAATGTTTTCCAGCATGAAAACGACGCCCACCCACACCGCCAGAGTTACTCGGGACTTTCTACAGCAGAACGGTGTCAACGTTATGCACTGGCCAGCCCTTAGTTTGGACTTAAACCAGATTGAACATCTTTGGGATGAAATTCAGAGGAGACTTAATAACTTCGTACCGAGACCAAACACAGCCGATGGATTGGGCCAGGCTTTCCTGAGAGTGTGGTTCCAGGTGCTAGTGGTGTTCATCAATCGTCTGGTCCAGTCCATGTACAGACGCCGCGCTGCTGTTATTGACACTCGTGTTGGACACACCAGATACTGATGTATAGACTGTGTACAGACTCTAAACCTTCTCGTAATGTCTTGGAATTGTGATGAATTAATCACTAATATGTCAACATACTGTTCACAAAAATTGCTTTGACCTATTTAGTAAGTCGTTCTCTAGAATTATTTGATTAAAGTGCCACTCTAATTTTGAAATCATACTGATGGTTTTTTTTGCTGTTTAGTATATTTTCCACCAGCCATATTTTCTCGCCGCCATTTTTTGAGGTGAACAAGATTTATTAGACTACAAAATTAGGTCAAATATCGTTTTAAAATATACTTTATAGGCTGAAAAGGGTGTAAAAAAAAATTGTATTGTTCAGATACCAGTACTTCCTAGAAGGTTTTTTTTTTTGACAACCTATGATTATGGATGAGCACTTAGTTAATAATCCCAAAGGATTGGTTTCATTATTGAAAATCTACAGTCTTTTATACCATACTTACAGGAATAATTTGTCCACATACACCCACTGGTTCATGTCTCGTAAAGGTAAAATATTCACCGTCTAGAGAGAAAACATTTTGTTAGAAATTAACAAATTATATGACAAGGGACTGTAGTGTAAATACGTGGAGGACATAAGAAGTAGTTAAATCAAATGCCAATTATGACGATGTAGTCTCTATCATCTAGAAAAATATTCTATGGTCCTGTCCATTTAACAGATTTGTACTTTTTCTGTTCCCCACTGTTTTGGCACTAATTATAAATCATCTGAAGTGTTGAAGAGTATGAGAATTCCCTTAAGATTACATTAATTTAACTCTGACATAAGTAAAGTACTTAACAGAGAACTACAAGCGGTTGTCATGCAAGATACGCCCCACATTTTTGGAAAAGATGGACAGGCAGTTTCATTTAGATTTTCCCGAAATTCGAATTCAACCTTCATAATGGTGGAATGGTGATATATTTAAACAGTTTTTCAAATCAGAAAAAAAAATTGTGACCTCATCTAGAGAATCTGCATGCTAAAAATGTGATTTTTCGGATATACGTGATTATCAAAAGGAACCCTTGATCTTAGTGTGTAATGGTGATATATTCACAAGTTTTTTTTAAATCAGATAAAAATTGTGACCTCTACATGGACCGCAAGCTAAAAACGTGATTTTTTGTACATTCAAGGGCCATAATTCAGGAAGATACAATCTGATATGCGCGAATATCGAAAGGAATCAAGATCTTTGGGTTATAAACATGTATTTCAACTTTCATCAAAATCGGATCAAATTGTGACCTCTTGAGGGTCTACAACCTTGATTTACCAGATGTTTACACTATTAGCCTACGTGGGGCATCCATTTTGTCCAGCCGTTTTGACCCTATTTTCACGAAATTCAAAGTCAACAAACATTACAGTGTAACGGTGATGTATTCGAACTTTTTTTTAAATCGAATAATAATTGTGACCTCTAGAGGGACCACAAGCTAAAAACGCGATTTTTCGTACAACCAGAGGCCATAATTCAGGAAGTTACAATTCGATATATGCGAATATTAAAGGGAACCGATATCTTTGGGTTATAAACTTGCATTTTAAGTTTTATCAAAATCTGATCAAAATTGTGGCCTCTAGAGGGTCCACAACTTTGATATACCAGATGTTTACACTATTTGCGTACGAGGGGCGGCCATTTTGTCTGGCAATTTTGGACCAATTTTCATGAAAGTTGCAATTGCAAATTTCCAAGTTATATTTTTAAAATGTATTAAAATAAAGCCTTAAAATAGATGGTATCCATAAACAGTCCTATCTTGTTAAAAGAATAATCCTATTAATCCTATAATTCGCTATTGCCAGCTGAGAAATTGGCAAAAATATCATTTTTAACTTCAAATTCCAACGTTGGAAAATTGCTGCCCCATGTTGTCAATAGCAAAACAGGGGAGGTAATTGTGTTGTTATTTCCTGTGTCATAGAAATAATTATGTTTTGACTTTCTTAGAAAATTTGAAATTCAACCTCAGACATAGAAATAATTATGTTTTGACTTTCTTAGAAAATTTGAAATTCAACCTCAGACAAAATTACGGGGTAACGGTGATATATTTGAACGTTTTTTTTAAATCGGATAAGAATTGTGACCTCTATGGGGCCCACAATCAGGGGCCATAATTCAGGAAGTTATGGTCCGATATGCGCAAATATCGATAGGAACCGAGATCTGTGGGTTTATAAACATGCATTTCAAGTTTCATCCAAATCAGATGAAAATTGGACCTCCAGAGGGTCCACAACCCTGATACGCAATATTTTGACACTATTTGCGAACGAGGGGCGGCCATTTTGACCCTATTTTCACGAAATTCAAAGTCAACAAACATTACAGTGTAATGGTGATATATTCACACTTTTTTTCAATCGGCTAAAAAATTTTGACCTCTATGGGGTCCACAAGCTAAAAACACGATTTTTAGGTACAATCAGGGGCCATAATTCAGGAAGTTATGGTCCGATATGCGCTTGTATAGAAAGGAGCCGAGATCTGTGGGTTATAAACATACATTTCAAGTTTAAACCATATCGGATAAAAATTGTGACCTCTACAGTGTTCACAAGCTAAAAACGTGATTTTTCGTACAATAAGGAGCCATAATCCATGAAGTTACAGTCCGATACATGCCAATATCGAAAGGAACCGAGATCTTAGGGTGATAAACCTATATTTTAAGTTTCATTGAAAACGGATAAAAGTTGTGACCTGTAGAGTGTTCACAAACAATTGTGGATGGATGGACGGATTGACAGGGGCGACGACAATATACGTCCACATGAAAATGTGGGCATATAAAAACTTTTGGAGAATGGCGATATACATAAATATGATGTTATATTCCTTTAGTGCAGCCTCTGTTCCAATTTAAAGCTTACTTTGCATTTAAACCACTGACCCCAGGGTTATCTTAAATCCTGTAGCGTTGAAACTGTGGCTCCAGTTTGCAATAAGTAGGTGACAGGTAGTTCCTGTAGCTAGAAATATTTTTGTTGTCCTTGTACATTCAACAATTTGGTATGAAAACATGATTTATACTGACCTACTGGTATGGTTTTTCCAGTTATTTTATCACACCAACCAGCGTAATACTGAAACACATCTATTGTAGCTCTTACATCATCAACAGCATCCAGGAACGGTTTACCATTATCCAACGTCTCCAGATTCTACACAAACAATTTCACAGCTTAAATTCACTTGAATTGTTAACATATCAATTCGGGACGAACATATGGTTCAATTTTATTTCCATAATTCGCTTACTCGTAATGATCTCTAGCAGTGAGAGAACACCAACCAGGTTAGACAAATTTAGGGAGATAAAATTAAGCTTCTTAAATATTAAAGTGATCTTATTAACTTATTTGTATTCCAATGCCCTATCCCCCAAGTGACTGATTTCTATCTCTACTTTTTTACGTTGTGATTGATGCAGAATTTCACCTTTTATGTCTTGGTGACATGTGCAGAACTCATACACTAAGTTGCCATAGTGCTTGAATAAATAACTTCACGCCAATAAGTCTTTCACACTAATAGTTATCATCCTTAGAGTGTTATGTGATGCAGAGTTAATGCACTTGCTGTAGTAAAATATTTGATATTTATGGCTCATTCTGCCATTTGTATCCACCTAATATGACATAACACATTCCATAAAATAAATTTTCAATATCTATCTATACATACCGCTAATATACCTATATCACGTTTTAAAAGAGATACAAATTTCATCATGAGTTCTCCTCTCTTTGATGCATCTTTTCTCCGCCAGGGGGAACCTATCTGAAAGGCTGCTCTAGCAGCAGCAACGGCTTTGTCAACATCTTCCTGAAATTAATATAGTGGGAAAGTAATGTGCATTGTGGCTCCACCAAGGATATACATTGACATACATTAGAAAGACCCAAAGTAGAAAGATAAAACTGTTCAGAGCTAGACTTACCGTTGTCAAATTAATTTTACAAATCTGATTCAGTATATCCGAGCTTCATCTGTAATCTATTTGTGTCCGAAGTATTAGACAAAGAAAATAAAATCGAAAAAAATTGATTTAATGTGAACTTAGTCCAAGATGATGGTTGAGTTCTGTAACTGTAATGTTATCTAATTTGTCAATAATTAATCTTCAAAAGTCTAATCAATCAAGGTTATTTTTAATAAGATATGGCATTGAAATTGTTCAGTTTGCTGGCTGTAATTATCTCACCTTATCACCTTCCTGAACATCACATAGTTTTTCACCAGTTGCTGGGTTTATTGTTGGAAATGTTCGTCCACTCACAGAATTACACCATTCATTGTTTATAAATATCTGAAACATACAAGTATGGTATAAATATAATTGTTAGCTTATAAACTTGTTATTATATTAGCCAGATTAAGATTTTGTAAGCCCCAGGCATAGTGAGATAGTCAAGTTTTATAGGAAATATGAACCCATCAAAAATTGTCTGTGATAACACCCTCGGTGAAAGTGGAAGTTAAGCCCTACCTAGATGAAGCAGAACCCACCAGGTACCGTTGGTATACAGTACAGTCAGTCTATACTACAGAAATGAAAATGAAATGAAACAAATTTTTTTTTTTTCACTGTGTGAAACAGCTTTATTTAACACCTGCTTCCCCTGAAATATTATAGTCAACATGTACAGCTATAGTATAAATTAACTTTAAATTCTGATATTTAAAATTGAGAAGCAGTAAATTCATCTGTCATCTAGTGAAAATTATTCTTGTTTGTTTTTAAGAAAAGTTAGATGGGTTAGAGATACTATTGTACCAATATGTCATGTATTTCACTTAATAAACTTATTCCCACTTGATACATAAAAACTACATACAATCTGTGAACTAATGATGATGACAGAATATAAATTTAATTACAATAATTATTTTCTACCATTGTATATTGAACAGTATAAATTTCATGAATTCTATTAAATATATAGTTATATTCAGGAAACAATAAAATAATTGAATAAAAGTATTGATTGCATCTAACTGAATAAATCAATTGAAGATGCTAAAATTAAATTTTACTCTGATAAAATAGAAAAGGTAAAAACAGACACAAGGACCTGTACAAAGTAGTGGATTCACTTTTGCATTATAATGCTGAGGGGACTATTTTCCCGCACATTGATGATGACACTGAACTCGCACATTTATTCTCGAATTACTTTCAAATAAAAATACAGAAAATACGAACTGAACTTGATGTTTTAAATAAAATTACTGACTTTAAACATACATTATGCAAGAGCTAAATCTGCATATTGTAGGTCTTTCTTTAGGCCTGAAATGTTATATAAACTATTAATTAGATATTAATTAACATATTCAGACCATAATCAGCTCTCGATGTCAACGCTAGCCTGCGATATTTGTTGGATTATGATCCGATTTTCTGCATAACTTTCCTTCTTGATTTAACAATTAAATGGATAATCAAGACTATGATTTTTGTCGTACCGACTTTAGTAATGATGACCGAGGCTATGCGGAACTTTCGATCGCTTATTACTCGGTTCATAGTGGATCAATTTGACTGAAATTTTCAGCATATTGCCTTTACATTTTCTAGTTTTTAACTATTATAGCGAGAACTGCCAACTCGTTATCTAATCTCCCATAATGTATTTTAAAGGTCATGATTTTGATAAGTTAGAAAATTCTGTTTATTTAGAAAATTTTTAATAGGAGTGAATGTTTTGTTTTAAACCTAATTAAATCGTCTGCTGCTAAATCTTGTTTATCAGAACCTGTTCAGATTCCTGTTCTTAAAGACGGTCTAGACGAAGCTATTCCTGTTTTTATAACAATATTATTAATTCTTGTATATCATCTTCTACTATTCTCAACGTTTTCAAACAAGCTTGTCTTAACCCTTTAATTAAAAAGTCTACACTGGATCCTAATGCTTTTAAAAATTACAGACCTGTCTCTAACATAAGTTTTATTTCTAAAATATTGGAGAATTGTATTGCTTCTCAGATAAAGGCTCATCTAGATGATAACTGTTTATATGAATCATTGAAAATACAAATTATTTGTCAATTTAAATCAACACTGATGTTGTGATCTTACCGGGAACAGATGAGCTTCTGATACCCAATATTTAAGACAAAATAAACATTTTACCAATGGTATACAAATTGTGTACCATAATGCGTTTCAGCGCCATTTGTAACAAGGGTCTCAAAGAACGAGGTTAGACATATTCCACAAGTCGTGTCAAACAGTGACATTATATTCTTATCTGGAGAGCATGCGCAATAAATACTATCAGTGTAGACTGGAATAACCAGATGCTAGAGATTGCCATTCGATTGAGACTTCTACTGTTCTAGCGTATTCTGCCGAACATATATAAGATTTGAAATTTGAGTAAAAGCGGAAACAATTGAATGTAAATCAGTTTAAATACATTATTATATGCGTTGCGACCGAATTATGTTAAATACATTCACATTACATTATTATATGTGTTGAGACCCATTTCTGTCAATTTCTAGGTCCAAAATATTAGCGATTTAGCGCCTTTAAGTTCAGTCTGAAATGTGTCATTAGATGTCTCAGCACATCAGGGGTTAATCAAAATAAAAAAAGTTCACCAGTACTGCAGTAGCAAATTTTACAGCAATATATAATAGAATTTTATTTAAACTTTCACAGAAGTTTAACAAGAACTGAAGAACGGGCTGTTAATCCTTACAAAATATCCAGTTTCCTCCCACTGCTAAACACCCCTACGCTCATGCAAATTATTGAAATAAAATTGAACCATGTGTTACTGTTAGTCCGAAATGACCTAGTTTGTGTCGAGTGGACGTTAAACCCCATTTCTCTCTCTCTCTCTCTCTCTCTCTCTCTCTCTCTCCCTTACAAAATAAATTTGGACGCCTTCGGTCTTCCGTACATGTATTTCTGCGATTCGTTTGAAGAAATGTTAACTTCTACAGGAAATAATAACACTGTCATCCCACAAAGAGGTTGTTTTGTTACCTGTTTGTAGACTATTTCTTGGTTAGGGTTTGGTTCGGGATCCGACATCGTTTCACTTCGTCTCAAGGCTGCAGATAAACCGTAGGCCTACAATTAGCTGAAAATTAAATTAGGTTAAAGAGAGTTAGCGTGATCAAAGGGAAGTAACTAATGTTCTTTCGTTGTGCAATCGGACTTTATTTTATTCAGCATCTAGAATATTCTTGTCGGGTATTATTTTTATAAATGATGATAAAGTGTTCAGTATTTTGGTATATTTTTTTTTATTTAACCTCTTTTAAGCAATATTTTTAAGCACAATTTTCGGGCCCATTTTAATAATACATATTTGTGATGAACGCAAAACTTTTTGATGGTCCGTTTTTTTCGCGTAGTAGTTATAAGAAGATATACTAAAGTATATTTTATAACTGAATTCGACTGTGGGATATTACGACACACCCTATCACAACACTTGTAAAGCGCACGTACAATGACATTTATGTCGTAAAAATATAACAAAATTAACAGACCACATCATCATAAGATGTTCAAAATGAATATACATAATATTATAATAATTATGTTAAAATACTTGTTTTATAAGATATTCTTAAATCCAGTGCCGGATTAACCACGGTGAAGCTGAAAAAGTACCCTCATTTCTAAAAAAAAAGTGTCCTCATTTCTGAAAAAGTGCCCTCAAATTTCGAAAGAGTTACCTCAAATACTTGTGGAAATGCCCGTGTCGGTGTCATCATATTGCCATTTAGCTAAGAAAACGTAGCTAAAAACGTTGAGATATACTGATGTGCTTGTTTTTAGCTACGATCGGGTGCCTTGAGTTCCAAGTGAAAAATTCAATTTTTGTATTAATGTATGTAGCATCTTAAAAATAAGATAATTTTATATAAAAATGGCGTTCCTAACGGATTAACGCTTCGATTTTAAATACGATGATTTATACCCGTTTCAGGTAGGATTATATGCTTAATTGTTGGCTTCCAGTTTAAATTTCACAGACGGATTAATATTTCTATAATATTCAGAATCAATTAATCTGTCTTTGTTTTATTTATTTCGCTGAATGAATTTAAGAATATCTTTTTTTTATCGAACATTGCAACACGGGCGACCGGATCGTTTTAGCTGTTGCATACTCCAGGCCAATACTATAACTGTTACTACGACCCTATTGACATATATCCTGTCACCTGTAACGTCCTTGACCTGGCTTGAAGTAAACTTTTTATACCGTGTCTAAATCTTGATCATCTTCTCGTTCTTGAGGATGTGCCCGTTTACTCTTAAGTGCTACGCCCCCATAACCCCTCAACCAAGTGTCAATGTATGGCATACTATGGCTCAGATATACACGTACGTCAAATCCATTAGCCAGTGCCACAGAACCAAAACATTCCCAGCGCTGCCGCCCCCACCCATCCTAAAATGCCCTAATGTTTGACTGTCTCCCTGCTTCGGAGGTCTGAGCACGCCCCTGTTTCAAAACATCAGATACTTTTAATAGGGCTGGTCAGTTAACATTGGATTTACCAGACCTAAGCTGCATGGTGTATGCAAACTAAACAGAAATATTTTCTGGATAACGATGAAAATGTTCATTGTGGCTATAGCCTTATTCTGGTCAAAACTTATTTTTCCTGCTTTATAACAAACAAATTGTCATTTCAACTACCTAGTGAGTTGTTAATATTACAAGTTCAATATTTCAAACTTTTGTTCATATTTTTGGTTCAATTCGTCGGAAAATAACCACAACACGATCAGTGAAACAAAATTTCAAATAAAACTTATAAGGGCAAACGAATTATCACCGAATCGGTTGTTTTGTTTGATCTCTATACTATTATTTTATATATTGTCGCTGGGATTCAGAAACCTCAGAACTCCAAAACATTTTCCGGAGAAGGATAAAACTGTGTAAATAGTGCAACTTTAAAGCGATCTGGACAATGTTGGCATCCCCCCCCCCATTTTGGGCACCAAATGCTGGGAAAATTTGGGCACACAATTGTACTTTGTAAAAGTTGTATAAAAAAAATATTGTCTTCTTGAATGTGTCCAATTTAACAGCGAATTTATTATTATTATGTAACATACTAAGAACCTAACTACACTTTTTGGGCACCAACCACCACCGCCCCCCCCCCCCCAGTCAAAAATTTCCCCGTACGCCTATGAATGTTGGGATATATTATATAGAAAGAGAGACTGAGAGAAGTGGGGTTTGATGTCCACTCGACACAAACTATGTCATTTCGGGACTAACACATGGTTAATTTTTATTTTACAATAATTCGCTTGCGCGTAGGGGTCTTTAGCAGTGTGTGTGTGTGTGTGGGGGGGGGGGCAGAGGACCCGGAGAAAACCCAGGAGGTTGCACATTCGACCCTACTTCTTGTCACACCGAAACCACGCCACTTGACTCATGACAGACCTTCTGATTCAACGCGCACGCGTTAACCATTGGCTCAAACAACCCCACTGCAATAATAATAAACTGCTAACACAAAGAGAAAATAAACTAAATAATTGGTAGAAGTTTTATAACAACTGCCACTTTATCCGTTTCATCAATGTGATTTTTGTATAATTTACATAAAGTCAATTTTTACGTGCTCTGTTTATCCGGCATCGAAAACTTGATTGATTTTATGTTCAGCGGGAAATGGGGGCGGGGGGTTAGTTATAATGCATGATTGTGTTGCTGGTGATGAACTTTCCATCCGACCTGCTTATCCCAAACATCAGAGATGGTTAACGGTCAATATAGTTGAGTCGGGCGCTTGAAACATGTACATGTAGTTGAATCGAGCACTCAGAACTGCTTTGGACCAAGAATGTTAAAGAGGCATTAAAATTTGGGTAAATCTTGCTACCCTGTTTTCGAGATCTGTTACCGCGGCTCTGAAATACCAATCTGATTAAAATACAGATCTATATTTCGTTTCGTTTTTTTTATACTTTCGATGACCTACACTACATGAAGATCTGACAAGTGGTACTCGAAGGTCCTGTCAGGGGTCGTACGAGCGCCTTTCGACCTATGACGCCTGCTGGCGTTTCTAGTGGTTTACCCATAGAGGTCCGTGCATGGCACGCCAAGAATTCGCCGTAACAGACTGTTTCATTGGCTTATCCCTCACTTCAACCTAAACGTCGGTAATATAACAACTCTTTCAGATCCTAGTGTAGTAAACACAAGTAAAACGAAATTTTCAACTATAAAAAAACGAAATCAAATAGGATCTGTGTTTTAATCAGATTGGAAATACGCAAGACGAATTTAAGCCCTTTATTGGAAGAAAGCAGTATAGCTCTTTCCACGGAACACGCAGCTGTAGCTATATTAAATAACACATTATTGTATTAAGTGTAGTTTAATGGTCGAGAGCGAGACATTAAGTAATATATTGATTCTGAAACAACACAAGGAACGTCCCGAGTTGGGGTTTTTTTTCCATTTTCAATGTATTACGCAATGTCTTAACCTCGAGATAATTAAGCAACTTAAAATACAAACAATCGCACGTGCTTTGCAATGAAATACGTCACGCGAGTTCAAAATTTCAACAAGGTTAAATTATGTATAATGTACTCTTGGCACATTGCCCGTACCATAATACTGGTACGCCAACAGTAAAGGATGACGTCACATCTGTATTTTAAAGCAATATATTGAAGCTTTAATTGGTTAAATCATCATAACAGACTTTACATGATATAGATATAATAAATAATTTATATAAGCAGTTTATACACCTGTACACGACTATAAGTTATTTATCATAGCCCACAAAATATTTAAAACTTTAATGAACATCTCACCATCTTAACGCGCAGTAAAGTTAAACAAGATTAACAAATTACGATATCTACTATATAGTTCTGGATGATCATTGGGTAATGGGCAAAACCAGGACTTTTCAATACTAGTACTATTATGTAACGTTGAAATGACGTCCCATTTGGCACAAATTCCGCGAAATTTAGGCTATGTCCAATTACAGCTCATTCTCTGAAATCACCAGTTTATGGACTTTCGACATATTATTAGATGCTAAACTAACATCCGGGATCAGTTTGAACCAAAGAAGAAATATGAATTTAAAGATGAATTCCCGTTCCTAAAGCTTGGAGATTCATGTAACTTAAAAACTAATGAAAGACAGTTGGGTTCCAGTAATTATCCATTTTGATTACGCGATCATTCAACTCCAATCAGTTTCTGGATAGCCTTTATAAGCCACGTTAAAGACGACAGCACCTCCAATAAGTGCCAAAAATGTAAACAGCGCCAGCCAGCCAGAATTCTGTTGCCATGGATATCGTTTTATATCTCTCAAAAATGGCTTAGCCACAAAGATACCTGCGAAAATAAACAAAGCATTTTTTTTATTACGTCACCATCAACATCGCTTGTCTAAGAGAACAAAATAAGCAACAGTGGTAGAACATTTTTGAAAATGGCGTCACATCTGGCAGATATTCTGGTAATGGAGACTCATGCAGAGACTATCAGAATCAGCAAAACTTGGGCTATGTCATCCAAATAGAGAGACCCTCCCCTACTCCCAGTAAGAAGCTCCTCTTATACGTGTTGATCGAATGGTTAACGGTTTTGATAACATTGAGAGACTTCAACGTTCAGTTGACTCGTAGACTCTGCGATTTAACGTCTGGAAAAGAAGTTTGCATCGGATAATCCAAAGGGTTTAACTAGACATCTTTATGTTAATTGAATGGCGAATAACAACAAATACAAGCTCCAAATGGGTTTTCTCTTCAAGGCACGTGACAAACAACGCTTTTTAAAATGGATTCTTGCGTCATGGGGTAGTTTTCTTGCAATTAAAATGTTTGAGAGAGCAATCTTTTGATAAATTAGTTTGATTATGTGTTTAATCCAAATATTTCATCAAATCACACATTTTGTACGGGTGGAGGTGGTACATCTTTAAAACAGCTTTTAGAAAGATTTCCGACCTACCTGCTAATATTCCTCCGCCATGTCCACAAAGACCTATCTTATATGGGTCGGGTAAATAGAATCGACGGTAAACTGCCAGGCCAATATCCACAAGGGCTGAAAGCAAACCACGATACACTAAAGTAGACCGTAAATTGAACAATACAATAATTTCCTAGCTAAAATTGAGACATGTGTACGCTGTGAGGACTCATTTGCGAAGGAACAAGTGGCATTAGACGCTCTTAGTACTGTGGTTCCTAACCTTTTGTTGGTTGCGACCCCATTCCAGAAACCATCATCTAATCTCGACCCCTCGAAGAACAATGTCACTATTTACTATGAAACATCATCATTATTTACAGATCAAATTGCTGTAATGATAGATGGATGAAATAAATTGTGAGCGTGAGATGGTAAAGACGATTGGCAATGTGGCAAGAGGTGTATAGATCAGAGATTTACGAGAGATGGCTGAAAAGTTCTAAGCCTATCTGTGAAAGACCTGTGCAAATAAGTCGATGGTTCCATTTTTTTTTCTTGTTGGTGGCAAAAGTTTGTTTCAACCCAACCGATCTATCCTCTTCAGAATTAAAATTTTTCTGCCAGCCCCCGTATATGCTTTTCATGAAAACATAGCATTTATTCAAATCTTTCAGAGTAGTCCGCAGCTACCCCATAAAAAGAGCTCCGAGACACCGGTTGGGGTCGCGACCCAGAGGTTGGGAATCTAGGCTCTAGAAAATCCATCTCTATTTATAGCGATAGTTTGGACCGAGTTTGAAGATGTTCTCCAAATGGTTGACCACTAGCCTAGTGTTTTGAATATAGAAATGTAATGAAAAAGATTTGCATCAATAAAGAAAATTGTATTACCAATGATTAGAATGATGACAAATCTAAGTGGCACACTACACAATATTCTAGTGAGTGCACTCTCTTTAATATCTCTATTCAATTGTTTCCAATTCTAAAATTAAACATATAATCATAAGAACAAACGAAATAATACAAAGTAAATCATGAGAACAAATCACAAATACAAAATAAAACGTAAAAACAAAATTAAAATACAAAATAAATCATTAGAACAAAATTAAAAACAATCAGCAGAACAAAACCAAAATACAAACACAAATCAGCAGAACAAAACCAAAAATAAAAAATAAATCAGGAACAAAACAGCATATTGGATACAAATAATTGCCTTTTATCTCGTTGCTAATCCGGAATTACAGTACTGGTACATATAAATATGAAATAATGAACTGCCATATAATGAGCCCAAAAAAAATCAATGTGTGACAATGGACTGGCATTATAACAACAGTGTTCTAGTACTTACATATACAAATGTGAGACAATGTGCTGTCATTATTGCATAGATACCAGCACTACCACCAACCATACCAACATAATGATCACATACAGATTGTAGTAAAGAACCTAAAACATAAACAACAATAAACAAATATTATTATTCTTAAAGACACATAGATGTTCAGTTCATTTCCATTATTATATATTGATTTCATAACCTCTTTATTTTTTGAATTGGAGAAAACTACTGTCCATGAACATCAAGGACAAGATAGCATTTAACAGAGATTTTTGTATAATTCAATCACCTCGATTACTATATACAGTACACATTTGTGAACTCGTTTTGTTAAATTTAAATACACAGTGATTATTATTAAGATGGGATAATACAAACACATCCTATTCTCCTTCCATTCATTTTCAGGTCATAATTAGACTGATTGCTTCACATGGGAATGATTGAATTTTCTTTTAAATACAGTAATATCATTAATCGGGATTCTACTATAACGGTATTATTATTCCAGTTGTACATCTCTGGAATTATCACATTAATCCTAAATATCACATCACATTACAGCTACGTTTTGTATAACTTAAATAATATTCGAAATTAGATGATCATAAGGTAGTTATCTCCAGTTATCCCAAATAATAACTACATTGCATCTCATATATTACATTATACATGATTATCACTTTTAACTTTTTTCAGCACATATTCAAAATGATGATCACGTCAGATCTCCAATAGTCAAATCTAGAATGATCACATTGTCATCATATCTCAATTGATCATATTATCTAGAATTGCCACAACACATGTAACTAGTCACCGTATCGCATCATACCCCAATTGGCCAAATCACATTGTACATTATCGCATTATGTATCAAATTACCACATCAATAAATATTCCTCAAAATCACATAACATCTCGAATTATCACAGACCGACGATATATAAATTGATAAAATAATATCCTACATAAGCACTTTGTATTCCACGAATGTTGAGTTATTGTACATCACATAATTTCACGCAACACTTCAACTTGCTGCAAAATAAATGACATAGACCAATTTCGAATATTGTAGAAATTATATAACTCACCCGTTATAACTCCTACAAAATAAATTATCATCAGTCGCCAAAATTTAAAAACAATCTCCAGTGGTATTCCAAAAAATAGTTGATACACCAGTGTTAGAATTAGATGAACATATCTATTTTAAAAAAATAGTTGTTGTTATTGAAAAGATCGTGCACTAATCAGTATGCTTTAAAATAAATAGCGTCAGGGCTAATTCAAAGGCTAGTTGGCTATGAAATGGTTATGTTTTAACGTCCTGTCAACGTTTTTCTTTGGTCATTTTGGTACTAACATCCCAGTTTTTTTCCTATGGGTACGCCTACTCTTATTCGAATTCCAGATAGATGGTGCAACTGTTACGATTGTGTACAAGCCAACGGTTTCTCGTGCCACCGACTAGTCACATGTTTCGTACACTTCACCCTGGTGAGAACCAAACTAAAAAAATCCCCCTCGATATTCCTTACCCATGACGGAATTCAAACTCTGAAAGCTATGTTTGTTAGTCCAGTTTGTTAGTCCAGGATCCTAATCTTAACCACACAATCAACCCATGTTCTACGTAGTTACCTCTAAACGAGGGATGTCTTAAAAGTTTTTGGCATCAAAAAGCATGACCCTGTCATTTGCTATCAAAATGGAGAAACCCGAATGCAGAGCAGTGATTTTAATCACTATTATCTTCTTTTGAAATAGTTTACGGCAAAGCAAATGCCTGATGACATGACACAAACATTAGGTTACACTCAGTCAAACAGTGGTATGATGAATTAACAAGCGGCAGGATCGGCAATGACGTAGGACCACGGTCTGGTCGTCTTTGTGAAGTGACAATCTTGGCAGAATAATACAGGAAAGGCGAGTAACCGTTAGACAGTTAGGTACTGCATAGGTGTCATCACATTGATTAGGCAACAGCTTCTCATGGACTATCAGAGAGATCCACTTGTTTGTCATATTGTTACTCAGGATGAAACATAAGTTCATCACTTTGACCCAGAGACAAAAAGTCAAAGTATGCGCGGAAGCACGTGACGTCACAACGCTCGAACAGTTCTAAAGAAGGCTTCCCCCATAAATGATGCATATTGCGCAGATGAATTTCGCAGGTTGCGTGATCAAATAAAAGAAAAGCGCCGAGATAGACAGCCCAAGTGACAGAGAGCTTTGCACAGGGCCGTGGCTTCAAAGTCCACCGTCACCCATCATATATTCCAGATCTTGCTCCCTCTGTCTTCTTCCTCTTCCCACAACTTAAATCTGTCCCAAGGGGCTGCAGATTTTGACTGAAGATGAGGTCATCACTGTGGTGGAGTTTCTAAGGTCACGTCACAAACAGTGGTTTTCTGACGGGTTAAATATGCTCGAAAAAACGAATGGACAAGCACACTGATGTCGGGGTGGGGGTAGCCTATATTGAAAAATATGTATAATAATTTCATATAGATCGCATTTTACTTTGGGGGCCAGAAATATAATATTTCATTGAAATTCAAACTTTTGAATATCTCGATACTGAAATGCATCTTTATCCTCTCCAATACCCCTTCATATAATAACAAGATTGGTTTGAAATACCATACCCTTGGTGAAAGAAGGCATAGGTTATAAACCGCCATGCTTCATATCGTCTAGTTGGCTTGTATATTAAAGATGAATTAACTTCAACACCTTCTAGAGCCGACATGGGAACTGTGGTATTTTTTAAATTTTCCACAGATAAAGCAAAAAATACAATCTGAAATATAAAACAAAAACATATTATAAAAGTGTTGGTGAAACAAGCTACCTGTAAGTAGCGACTAAAGCATTTATTTACGGTAAAGAAAGGGGTTTCTGTAACCAAGTATATATCTAACATGTTAATTATACAATGAAATTCAACTTTGAGCACAATTTACTTTCATTTATTTTGTCTGCTTTGTACAATGCACATCTAATACGCTCTAGTCGATCCGCGTTATGCCAATGACAATTTTCGGCCTATGTTAATCAAACAGCCATACTACACCAAAGGGACGTTTTTAGGGGGCTCCGGATTCCTAGCCAGGGTCTGTTTATAGTGAAATGATACGGTTGTACTTGACAGAATACCCCAGTCGTCGGGCACGTTCACTAACATATTTTAAGAATTATGTTTGTTCATTTGACTGAGCGCTAAAATTATAGTACAAATCTTAGCTCTTGTCTTGAATAAAACCGCCGGTCTATAATCATCACAGATCAGGCATAGCGCACAACTTACTACTTAAACATGGAAGCCTGCAGTCTGCTAAATATTAAATTAATATGTGTGACAGGTTCAGATGTTATGTTAGAAATGGTTCCACTACTGATGTCTTCCGTCTTACTCCAGCCACAGTAGTGGCCTTACTTTCAGCAAGTTTTGTAGTCATTTGACCACTGTACATAACTTAACATATAATAAAGCAATTCCCATTGAAATAAAGATGAAACCTTACCCAATAATTATATGATTTTATTAAAACCAACTACTATGCAAAATTTATGTTCTTTTTAAAATGGCCGCCAAACCAGATTCACGTGTGTCATGTCACTCGAAAATACAGAAAAAACTGTTTGGTAAGATAAGATTATGATTTCAGTGTTCCACTCTTCACTATTTGTAACATAATTATTTATTTCCATGCAAATTGTGATGATATGTGTTGAAAATTTTGCAATTAAACCTAATTTTACTTGCTCAAAGCCTCGAATAGTCTATCAATTGCAGCCGTAGATAAGAATTATCACGGCTGTAAATTGCAGCTAATGTTATGTATGATGGTGACGGGGCGGAAGAGTTTGTACGTACCTGTGTTATACTAATAGCGATCATAAAGAAAGGTGGTGGACACCATCTATAGTCATGTAAATAATCACCTAGCTCAATATTAGGTATTGAATTACGACATATATAAAATAAAAAGCCGGAATTTTTGTCTCTTTTCTTGATACCCGATTTGGATGTTACTTCTGCTGAACTTTCTATTCCATCAAACTCATCTTCGCTGTATCCTACAATCTAGAAACCAAACATTATCTTAGATATTAGACACGTAAATAACATGATGATCTATTACAACTAGCACTAAATTCAGAGCCAGATGTTCTCGTGGGCTTTAGGGGTTGTCACGTGACCTCAGCCTGTTGGGAAGCCTCGAGTGATTATGTGAAAAGTTATTTAAATAGGGAATAAGTACTCTAAATTATATATTTAGAAAGTGTTTAATTAAAAGATGTATAACTCTAACTCAATATTGTCCATAATATTCGACATTAAAATGACGAATTAGAATTCAATATTGGTCCATTGGGATTAATATTGGTATTGTTGTCCAAGAGACAATTAAAATTAAAAATTCAGTTTACGTGTAAGTGTTGTCTGAAGTCTGTGATGATGAATTGGTAGATTATATAAACCTTACCTGTTTAACGAATTCGTTATAAGTGAGGGCCTTGCCGGGGTTAAAATCTGCCAAATCTAGTAGATCGTGAACTTTGTCTGGCGGTAGAAGTCGTCTATAACGTCTGTTTTCTAATAAACGACGTAAATCATGAAGGGCAATCTTTTCACCGCCATATACAAACTGAAAAAGGAGAAAATATATTTACTAATGTCGAGCGAGGGAGTGGGGAAGGTAAATCACAAAATCTAGAGGTCTGTCATTAAGTCAAGTGGCGTGGTTTCGACTCCCCGCTTGTACGTGACAAGGAGTAAGGTCGCCTGTCCAACCTTATGGGTTTTCTCCAGGTTCTCCGGTTTCCTCCCACTGCAAGCGAATTTTTGAACCGTATGTTAGCCCCAAAATGACCCAGTTTGTCGAGTGGACGTTAAACCTCATTTTTCTCTCTCTCATTAACAGTATGTCATTACAGCCATATTAAGAAAGCAATACTGCGACAAAACACAGAGAGAGAGAGAGGGGGGGAGAGAGATAGAGAGAGAAACTAGATCATTTCGGGACTAACATATGATTCAATTTTATTTCAATAATTCGCTTGCCCTTAGGGGTCTTTAGCCGTGCGAGGAAATCGGCGGACCTGGAGAAAACCCACGAGGTTGGACAGGCAACCCCACTCCTTGTCACGTACAAGCGAGGAGTCGAAATCACGTCAGTTGTCTCAATGAAATACCTTATGAAACAACGCGCACGCGCTAACCATTCGGCCATCCAACCCCCTTGCGACAAACCATCAATAGTACCAGAATAAATCAGTTTCAATACAGTACATGATAATATTAAAGACACATTATGTTAGATTTAGATAAAGAGCTGACAGTTCTCACTATAATAGTCTAAAAATAGATAATGAGCAAAGTTATCGGTGTTTGAAGTTTTGATAAGAATAGCGTAGCCTTGATTTTCATTGCTACCACTGTTACGATAATAAACAAAGTCTCGATTATTCATAATTAAATTATTAAATGACGATTGTGTTTCAATCCATTATGATTGTGGACTAAATTATTATTAATAATTTATATAACATTTGAGGCCAAAAGAAAGACCTGCAATAGGCAGATTTAGCTTTCCCAAAATGTACCTTGAAAGCTCGTAGCAATATCGTACATACTCAAGTTTGTAGCAATTTTAATAGACATACATTACATGTATATAAAAAATATTAAATGCTGGAGCAATAGTTCACATGAGAAAAATTAAAGGTTGTAGAAATACCGTTATAAATATTAAGTCTGTAGCAATATCGTGCATAATAAATATTAAAGGTTGCAGAAATATCGTACATGATATTAAAATCTGTATAGCAATACTGATCATGATAAATACTAAAAGTTGTAGAAACACCGTACATTATCAAAAGGTTGTAGAAATATCGGACATGATTAATATTGTATATACTGCATGATCATGATAAATATTAAAATATGTTCTTACCTGTTGAAACACTGGTCTAAAGTGCTGTTATTGGATAGAAAAAAAAATATATTTAAAGCACCAATTCATAAAGGGCATATAATTTGTTTGGACCAACTCAAAGAAAGTGATCATTATTCCTAGCCACCGTACATTAGTTATCCCCTTTTAGTAAATATTTAGATGTGTTTTTGGGTTAGATATCAATACTTTCATTTTATTATGGATACATAAAATTATTAATCCCAGTAACCGTACATAAGTGCTCCCCTTTTAGTAAATATTTAGTTGTGTTTTTGGTTTTAGATATCAATACTTTCATTTTATTACGGATACATAAAATCTAAACACTGAAGTATTTTTTTTTAGGGGGGGGGGGGGCGCCCGTGCTTAGGGTTTCGTAATTATTGTTTTGGGCAACAGAAGCCCGTGTCACGATGAATCATATTTGAGTTTAGAACTATATAAAATTATGTCCCCATATTCATCGGGGTGATTTGACCTGAATTATTTACTAACGTTGAAATCTTTAGACACCAGTGCGACATTTCTGCATATATATTAGATATTACGAAAGCAAATGTACTTATGGGTGAGGCGTGGTTTGCCTAATACAAGAAAAGTTTGATTTGAAGTAGACACGCAGAAATCCATTGTATACTGTATTTTATATCTAATCAATATCAATGTGGAGATGTAATGTGATGTACGTATGTCACGGGTGTGTCAACTGTATAGTTATAGAAAAGAAATCAAACGTTTACTCTTTACTGTTTACGTAATATTCCTTTCATAATGCTAGCCCTCAGTTTTGGGGTGCTCGTTTTGAGTCAGACACTTGTGGTGTCATCCACACTTTAATTCGATAATTTTGAGACTATTTTTCGGATTTCTATTTTAATGTGTATAATAATGAGAGTAGAGAATTTGGCCTGGATGCCGGTGTTTCCACATACACTTCTTCAAATTCTTACTGCCATGGGATCGTTTACGGTCACTACAAACATGATTGACTCCTTAGACTAAAAAGCGAAAAATTATTAAGCAGTTCATATAAATTTAAGAAAATCGGATCATATATGACGCTTTTAATATGCTAAAACGTTTACATAACAAAGGGGGATAATTCTGGAGTTAATCACCTAAAAATGTAAAACATCAATGAGGCAACCCATATAAATTTCAAATATATATATATAAAATATACATAAATAAATTTAAAAAAATACGTCCAGGTAAAAAATACATTATTGATATCTGAAGACGCCCATCGAAGGCAGACAGCTAGCTTATATGATTTAATGTATGTCAGAATGAATTAAAGTGGAGAATTTCTTTTACCAGGACGTATTTTTTATTTATTTATGTATTATCTTATACCTCCGTCTTCATTAGCCCAGTTTAGGAGCAGAATAGTAGGACGTTAAACCCCATTTCATTTATCTTATACCGTAAACAAATAAGTACTTGTACTTTATCTACTTTAATATATATATATATATAATATGTGCTAATATTTCTGGATATTGTAGTCTCTGTTGAGCTAACAAGAAATATGAATGATAGAATAATGAACGGACAGCTTTGACGATATATGCGACCACATTATAATGTGGCTGTATAAAAAAAAAATCCCCGATCACCGGTAAGCCTCTAGGTCTATGAAAATCTAAAGTATTTAATATATTATTATGTTTGAATGTGAGCCATTACGGTTGGGTGCCTTAAAACATTTCCTTCTATAGTCGTGTATCCATGAGCTATAATTAATTGTTTATATTTGGTTCATATAATCTAATTAACTTTGTGTATTGACAACATTGCAAATAGCCAGATAAATAGCAAAATATACAAAGTAAAAGTGACCACGCCTGGATGTTAAGTTTCTTAAAATGTATCAACAGATTTCTGTTTGACGATAATGAGCCAAATCAAAGTTTATTATATCGGCATGGGTTAGAATTGGGGCAAAACTATGGTGTACCAATAAAATGAACGGAGAAGATATCAAATTATTTTGCAATACATGTAATGTTCTTTAGTTTCCTTGTCTTGCCGTTTGATTGCAGTGATAATTATAATGCCAAGCCCATTGCAGCCCCTCCCCTCACCTCAGAACTATAAAATATGACAATCATTAAAATATTGTTTAATGGGTTTTTTCTTAGTTTTGATTCGATAATTATACTAAATTAGTAACATTTGAAGAAAAATAAAATGTAAATATATCTGATCTCGAATATCAAGAAACATTTCAGACAACGGTCTTTATACAAATATAAATACAATAGGACAAAATAATAATAGACCTATATTTGTGTTATTTAGTTGGTGACCTTAATACATGCTGTTCATTGTGAAGATCAAATTATTGTACGTATGCAGCCTTACCTCCTCCAAATCTTGTCGTAGCGAATAGGTGTTCATTTCTGTATCATCCCTGTACGAATACACCGTGCTGGATCGGGACGAAAACATCATGGTTGATTTTTTTAATTTATCTAATCATCTATGCTCGTTGATGAAAGAACCCTTTTAATCTCAAGTGGGTGATGTATATTCCAAAATGGGCGACAGTCCATTCACTGTGTTTCCCACCTTAATAATAAAGGGCGTTGTCATTCGAAACGGACAGATTTGTATTCAAGCGAACCCCGTTTCTATTCATTGCTTGATGTGGCCTGCCTAGTCGAGTCGATATATATAAATAGGGTCTGCATAAAGAAGGGATAGGTTTTTCTATTCAAACATCGCCGAATCATAAGATAATATTGAACTTATGTGTTAGTTAAACATTTTAAACGTCACATTTCTTCCTTGGATCCAGTTAACGAACAACATTCAAATACATTATACTGCTGTCTACTTCTATTGACTAATATTTCAACTCTTTATAATATATAACAGTATGATTATACTCAGTTATAAACGTGTAAACAGTAATTTACATGCACACCCACTTGCACCCAACGTTTTATTTGTAATGGAATTCAGATCTTTTGAAATTAGAGATCCAACTTTGTATAGTTTTCAAGGGATTCAAAACCTCTGAAATTATGAAAATCAGCGACTTTCAGAAAACAAAACCAAAGCCAAAATATCAAAGACATCTGATGTGCTCCAGGCTAGGATTCAGTCGGATTAAAAAGAGGCATTATCAAAATGTTTTACCCATAGGTAACACTGGCATGTTTAAATAATCCGTAGAAATGAAATGAAATGAAATGGGGTTTAACGCCCTACTGTTCTGCTCCGACTGAGATGATGAAGACAGGCATGCGCCAAAGGATCTTTTATGTGCACTCCAATGTGTACACGAAACCTCGGGTTTTTCGTCCCATCCAAACGACTAGACAACTGTCCCCTTGCCCTGCCCTCCGTCCTGCGCCACTGACAAGGGAAGCCACGCCGAAAAATCTAATAATCCGTAGAGGATGTCGACATTTTTGCAATTTCATATCTTTGTAATACAGAGCGGAATTGGGTCATTTTTGGACTGATAGTCCTTTTAATTGGCCCAACTTCACCAATAATGTAAATTCTACATTTCACAGGTTGTGCCTGCTAAACCTTTCGGTTCGCACACGTCTTATGCCAGTTTCTGTTGTTGGTAAGGTCACGATGTGTTTTCCTTTCTATTAACCGGGCGTTTCTCTCTGGTGTAGACCTACATCTTAAATGAATAGAGTAGTGGGAGTTAACCGTTCTCAACGGTATTCATATGATATTTTCATTTACTGTTAGCTAATTACAAAATAAGTCATTTCGAAAAGAGCACACCCAGGTCATGCCTTTGTGTGTTTAGTGTTTTCACTGGCCTGAATAGCCCAATTCTATTTTTGCTGATAATCTATGTATGAATTTGGATCTCTGGATCCGATCAGTTCCTATCATTGAGTACGTGAACTGGGAGGGTTTGGGTCGATAATTCAACAGAACATTTCCCAGAAACTTACAATAAACGTAATAAGTAGCAAAACGGTAGGCTACAGTAATACAGGTGCACTTGTATAGGACTATTTAATGTGCCGGTAGGCCTACTTATTAACAATCTCGTTATCGGGGTGGCCGAGAAAGCTCGTTGGAATTTTTCGGCGTAGTTCACCCTTGTCAGTAGTGTAGCCTTTGGCGGGGAGGGGGGGGGGGGGGCTGGTAGGGGTCAACGTATAGTCGTTATTCCAGTGGGTGCCGAGAAGTACGACGTTAAATCCCATTTAATTTCATTTAATTTATTAACAATATGCAATAATATAAAGATAGGCCTAGGAATAGCTAGGCTACTGTAGGCCCTAGTAGCCTACTAGACTAGCCTGGAGGTCGGGTGTTCGATCCCTGCATTGGCCGAGAAAGTTCATCCAGATTTTCCGGCGTGGTTCCCCTTTGTCAGTGATGCAGGACGGAGGGCCTAACAAGGACAGCTGTCTAGTCGTTCGGATGGGACGAAAAAACGAGGTCCCGTGTATACATTGGAATACACGTAAAAGATCCCTTGACAGTTGGAATTCGATATAAGAATATGCCGTAGTGCCGCTGTCCGGGCAAAACCCCATTTCATTTCATACGGTAGTCGTAGAACCCGAAATATCCTAATAATATCAATAAAATTATGGCTTTATGCGCATGGACATTTAAATAAAACCATTAAACTAAAAATGTGGACAAATGTATTAAATAATATAAGTACCGGTAGCCTAAATATAAACTTGGATGGTATTGGTAGGCTATGTAACGACACTTCGAGATCCAAAGCAGCAGAACGCTAAATCGGAGACAGTCTAGCACATATATGACGTCATATATGACATATGTGGAGTGTGGGTTAGGGTTAGGATTGCAGATTTCGTCAAGGTCTCGAGATATAAACAGGGCTAGCGCTAACCCTAACCCTAATCCACTCTCCACTTATGACCTGATTTATGCTAGACCTCCGATGGAGCGTCCTCCTTCAAGGCATAGAAATAATATAAAATTATTAACAAAGGGGGATCACTCTGATCTATAAATACGCCGTTCTTCTTTGGAAGAAATTAGATATTTGCGGGAAGAGAAGAAAGCCTGTTTTCCACTCCCAAAAACTCACTTCATTAACTTAATTAAAATGAAAGGGCGTAAAAGAAAGGTGGATAAAGGAGGTAAATGGTTTGTTATAAAAACACGAAAAATTCTTTGTGAATGTAGCTGGCTAGCTGTGTAAACTATAAGGGCAATTTTTAATCCGACGACTGAAGTCTCTCTCAGTCCCGGCCGGCTCTATTTCCGCTTCTCCTACTCTCTGATTTTGACAGTATGTCAGCAACATCAAGGGTTTTGAGATTTCCTAGTTCCTTCTCGACTAATGTTTAAAAGCGGTGATAAATTTTATTACATAAACCTCTCTTTTCGGACAGCGTGTAAATTATACATTTGGCCGCGCCCGGTATGCATGAGAAATACATTAAAAAAAAATGGATGAAAAATACATTTTAAAAAATGGATGAAAATATATACAAAAAAAGTGAATGAAAATTACATAAAAAGTGGATGCAATGTACATTTATAAATATACATTGAGATTGTATGTTATGTACTAAATATAAAACACTAAACATAGTCGCTTGAACTAAACATAGTCGCTTAACTAAACGAGAGATCTTTAAATTGTTGGTTATTTTTTGAAAGCATGTTGCACAAAGATGCACACTGTTTTTGCCATAGCAAACGGAGGGTTAAACATGTTTTCGATAGAAAAAGGATAGTTTTGGATCGCAAATGCCCCATAAACAATAATTGTCTTGCGGAGTTCCTCATAACGGTTGCACTCAATGAGAAAATGATACTCATTTTAAACTTGCTGTTGAGGGCTGTGTGATTGACTTTTTTAAAACTCACGTTGCAAAGTTGTCATTGTCAGTGCTAAGTTGGGGGTCACATTAAATGGAGTTAGCTCCCTTCAGCTAACTAATCCGTTTCGGTAATAACGAAAATTATCGTTTATTAGACTTTTTTTTATAATGTTTTACAGCGAAACAAGGTTCAGCTGTTACTCCCGGGGTTGAGAAGGCAAGTTCTACACAGTAAGTTTCGTTATTCAATAAGGTTATTTAGCCTATCGTTACCAATTCTGGTTTATGTCTTAATCTTGTACCATAGGCCTACTTGTGTAGAGAATTCCATTTCCGATTTTATGAAACTAGAAATATATAATCAAAATAATAAAATAAAAAATGTCATTTTTCTCCATATTTTTTTCACTGAGATCCCGAAAATTAAAATTTGTATTTTCACTCTCGTTTTGCCAGTTTTAAGTAAAATGGTCGATTTCAAAAGATTACCGTCCCGCTCTTTACAAGTCACATTTGGACAAACCCAGTCTGATCAGAGTTACAGAGACAGGCAACGAAACGAGTCCACGGCAGCTCAGTCGTCCGTGCACTCCATGTATATTGTACGAAATAACTCGAAGTAATTATCAACATTTGACAAAAGCCACGGACATCTTTGTATCATACACGTATATATATTTCAAGTCTATTGAATAATAACCTTTAACTATTAGAGCTACATCAATGTTTTCAAAGTGATCAAAGGCTATAACTGTAGGTTAATTAAAAAAAAAAATGTCTAGTGAATATAAACAAAAAACTTATGTACTCGAAATTGTGAAGAATTCATAATGCCCCCGTCAGACCGGGCGGCGTCCTTACTGCGCTTCTGCGACCGTACAGCGACGCGAAAATGCACAAGGTCGCCGGCAAACGTAAACACAACGCGAGAAAATGTCCCAAAATATTTACAAACTTGAAAAAAGTCGCGTTCTTTACCTCTTCAGACCGGGTTGGCGCCTTTACTGCGCTGCTTCGGCGACAGAAAATGGCCCCAGAGCACGTCAAGATCGCCATAAGCGCGGTGGACACGCCAGATATCGCACTGTGGTCTCGATGGTAGCAAACGATCGCCGAGTCACGGCGTTTGTTTTTAGCATGTTCAAAACAAACGCCAAGATTCTGCGATCTGCCCTGGAAAGATGTGAAAACGCATTTTTTTTTTCAAGTTTGTAATATTTTGGGACATTTTCGTACTTTGTGTTCACGTTTGCCGGCGACCTTGTGCATTTTCTGGTCGCCGTACGGTCGCTGCAGCGCAGTAAGGACGCCACCCTGGTCTGACGGGGGCATTACAACTTCCAGGTTAGATCGCAAAGCCTTGACGTTTGTTTTGAACATGCTTAAAACAAACGCGGTAACTAGGCGATCATTCACGTCCATGGAGACCACAGCACGATATCTAGCGTTTCCACCACGCTTTTACCGCGCTTATGGCGATCTTGACGCGCTCTGCGACCATTTTCCGTCGCCGTAGCGTCGCAGTAAGGGGTATTACGAAACAATCATTCATTGTCAATTTCAACATTATATACTGAACCAAATAATAAAAAAAAAACACCGTTAAATTTCTTGTAAATCTGGTTGATATGAAGTTGTTTTAAAATTTATAAGTTCCTATAGCGAACAAACAAATAAACTGTCTATCTATGTATAGAGGATATACAATCACATTTTTAATGTGGGCATATATACAAAATTGAAAAGGGAGCAGGTAATAATTAATAGCCTACAGGGACCTCACCTCGCTCCATCAGCCTGTGGGACGTGGCCATTATTTCGCAAGCCTAAATCTGTTTTCTTTGATTTATCAACAGAAACACTGCGAAGAGTATTTGGCATTCCTAGTTGCTATAGTATCCCCGTTTCTCAAAGTATTGGGTCTATAGGAACCTCTAAAACAAAAATAAAATAGACACTCCGTCATGGTCCTAACCCTTGCTCTTTGCCAAGCCCCCTGTACCAGAAAGACTTCTGGGCGAAGGGGGTTCAGTTTGCATGTAGAAGTTTGCCCCCCCCCCCCAATAATTTTAGAAAATAAAAAAAAGTATTTGCGATACGTTTCGGTAATCAATACCTTCTACGGTGAATAAATCCCACATCCCCCCTCAGCATAAACTTGTGCATGTTGTAGAGCATTTCCGACAGTCTATTTTTCAAAATTTTCTTGGCGAGGTCCCCAATGGACTCGCTACTTTGGCGCTCACAAGGGGAATTCGTTGAGGTTCGCAAGTCCGTTCGTTTGACATTTTGTTCTCTAGTCGGATAAACTAGAGATCAGGCGACGAACGGTATCTGGGCAGATCTATTTATCTCGACGATCGGTGCCTGACAGAATACTGTAAGACAGCATTTCCGGCAGTCTATTTTTCAAAATTTTCTGGGGGAGGAATCCCTACTTTGACGCTCGTGCGTGGGCTTCGTCGTGATTTGCAAGTCCGTTCGTTTGACACTTTACCTCATCGATCTGTGCCTGAAATACTGACAGGCTGCATTTCCGGCAACCTGTTTTTCAAAATGTTCTGGGGGAATCCCCCTACCCCTAGTTGAAGCTCGTGCCTTTGTCCCCTTAACCTTGGACTTTGCCCCAGTTTTGCCCCTCCAATCACCGACGGCTGGCGCCGCCACTGTAGAACCCATGCTCAGTCTATCGTTATTGACATTATAATTCCAATTATTCCATACTGGTCCATGTTTTATTTCAGATCATGTGAAAATATGTCGATTGAACCTCAGAAGATTGTGCCAGTATTTACCACAAAGAAGAGAAAGCTTATGCAAGATAAACCTAAAACAATAGAATCGGCGCTTGGGTGCGCATTTTATAAATTTAAAGAGGTGGTTGGGGGTGTGAATGTGAATAAAGTTCACAGGATCTTGTGATCAGATTTAGTACAAAGTGCATAGTTCGGATAAGATCAGGGAATAGGGTTTCAGAATGACGAAATATTTTCAGACTGGGGGTGGGTTGGAAGTGGTAGGGCGTAGAATGGTCGAGTGATCTAAGGCATGCTCTTGAGTTTATAAGTTCTTTTATGGATACAAGTGTTGTTCTTTCAATCCCACGATGGTACACTTGAAGCAGTAAGGTCGTCTGTCCAACCCGGTGGAGTTCATTCCACTGATAAGTTCTCCTGCATAAAAACAAATTTTTGACATGAGATTTACCTTATGTAATTCCTGAAATGATCTAAATTGAGTTAAGTGTACGTTAAATCCTTTCTTCAACAAAAAAGATTCGGTCTGGCTTAGGCAATGTTGAACAAAGTGAAAGTTTTCAAATACTTTTTACGCATATTTAAATATTTGTCAGGTCCAAAATCATGCTCGCATCGCTCCCTTCAAATATTGTTGAATCTGTGCTTATACTGTGCTTATGTGTCTAGGTATTTAAAGTCATGTGTTTAACGTTATAAGTAGGCGTGTACAGGTTAGATGTAAACAACCCCGTAATGGTTGAGTAATTTCTGTGGGAATTAAACTAGGGTTTACTCTTTGAACAATAAAACATATATAATAGCCAGAAATATGAGAAGCGTTGTTATAAAAATTAAATGCTAAGATGGTGAATCATGTTTTGGTGTTACGGTTAAAGATTGTGCCATAAAAGATGAATTTCATTGAATGTTTAAATTTTTAAAATAAATAACGTCATTGCCAATGTTTGTTTTTTAATGTATAAATGAAAGGAGGTTTAACATTTTGTGCACCAATTGCTCTAATGAAGATCGCTTTTAATCATATTTCATTATTTATTTAATGAATTGGAATGAAATAGGGCTTAACGTCATGTCGACATGAGAGAGACGACACAAACTAGGTCATTTCGGGACTAACACATGGTTCAATTTTATTTCAATCATTCGCTTGCGCGAAGGGGTCTTTAGCAGGGGGTGGAAACCGGAGGACACGGAGAAAACCCACGAGGTTGGACAGGCGACCCTACTCCTTGTCACGTACAACCGGGGAATCGAAACCCCGCCAGTTGACTCAATGACAGACCGTATGATACAGCGCACGTGTTAACCATTCGCCCCCCCCCCCCCATTTTGAGATTAAAGCCTTTATTGCTATTCGACTGTGTTGTCGTATAGTGCCATCGCCCCTGTATGTCCATGTTTTGGTTTTATATTAGATGAATTCAAATCATTACAATAAGTAAAGTCATTGTACAAGGTTTGTTTAAAGTGTCACCATCCCGGTCTGTCCGTCCGTCAGCGCCTTTTTGTACTGATTATACAGAGTTGATGTTTTTATTTGATTTTGATCAAATGTTCAGGAATAGTTAGTAATGGGTTACTAAAAACTTCATAATGTGCATGTATGTTTTATAATATCTTGGCCTTTTACTTGTCCGTAAACGTAAAACGCTACCCGTCTTCATTAGCTGCGTTGGTGCAGAAAAGTGGGACCTTGAGAACCACATTTCATTCCTGAAATTCAACAAGCATTAAATTGTTATTAATACAATTCACATCAGCTAAACAAAGTTTAATATATTCTTGAACTTCAGCGATGAAGATCAAGATCGTGATAGCCAAACACAGACATCGCAGGAATCTGTAACACCGGAACATGGAGCCGCAGAAAAACAAAAGACAACAATTTGTGAGGATGACGAATCTAAACAAGGATCTGAAGCGACAGTGGGCTCATTCAGATTCGACAGTAGAGCCAAACTAAACACAGTGAACGACGATAACATGGTTAAGATATCAAAATCAGAAAGGGTAGTGGGAGGTCCCAGCCTAACAGATATGCATTTGATGGAAGTCGAACCGCAGATAACGGGGACGGGTCATATGGTTGAGAAAGCACTAGTGACAGGAGTGGATAGCGAAGTGGGAACAAAGGGAGAACTCGTTCTTAAGGAAGATGGATCAGAAATAAAGGCCGATATACCTCAAATAATAGGAAGCGAGCTCTCGAGAGTGGAACACGTCCCAAACATGGAGGAAAACAGAGAGACAATGGACGATGACATCAAAATACATAATGACAAAATGTCGGAGAGTAAACCCAAGATGAAATATGTTGAATCTCGGGATGGTGAACCTAAAATTGATAAACCAAAGATAGCAGCTGAAGCAGACCAAAGTAATGGCATTGAAACTGATTGTAAACTAATCCAAAGAACCAAGGGAGTTGTGGAGGATCCAAGGGCAATGGTAGAAGAATCACATATAGGGAATGGTGAACCTCAACCGCTAATTGAAGATAATACAACCCAATGCAGAAAGAATATGGTACAAGATGCAACATGTGGTGTTAAAGAAACCCCATTATTAGATTCAAGTCAACCCGACAGGGAGGATTGCGATCATAGCCCAAAATTAGAAGAAGTTAGTTTTATGAAGTTATTACGCTCTCGCAATAACGATCAGATGGAACCAAACCCAGCTGCTGTAGAAGAAAGCGAAGCTCCTAAAACTGAACTTGATCTGCAGAAAATAACGGGTGATAAACAGCAGAAAACGGGTGCTGTTGGTCCTGTTGAAGAAGCTCCTAAAACTGAACATGGTCTGCAGAAGATAACGGGTGATATACAGCAGAAAACGGATTTAGAACGCGAGCAGTTGCCAGTGAACAATGGCTCTAAGACAGCGGGAGATGGGTTTATAGATAGAGAAACAATAACAAAAATTGAATTTAGAACAACTGAAGCGAACCCCGTTGAAGAACAATCAGAGAAACAAGACTGTCATTCTGCAGCCAGTTGTTCTCCTAGGCAAACCGAAACCACGGCATTACAAGAGTCCTACGCATCAACGGTCAGCAAATCATATGAAGATTTAGATGTCCCAGTGGCACCATCTCAAAACTTTACGATTTCTTACTCGCCAAACCTATCACAAGTTACACCCATCTCTGGTCCTAGTTCTCCAATTAAGTTTGCTAAAGAGAGTGGGTTCGTTGAGGGTAATGAGCAGTCAATGGTGGTTGATATGAATTTTGTGAATAATTTAGGCACATGTCTACAGATTTTGACAAATAAGTCACTTGACGATGTATCTGAAAAAATGTGTCATCGAACAACAAGCACTACTACCGCCCAACAAGCGGATGCTGACACTGGAGAACTGCCAAGGTATCCGTCCACCATCATATCTGAATCTCCACCTCATGGACTGAAAGGCGAAAAAACAGAAACAACTGATAACCGTTCGAACACACTATCAGAAACAGCCCAAGGTATTATAATCTGTGTTTACTTTTATCTCTTTTGGATTACCCATTACTTTGGGTGTTTAACTGTAAATGAATTTTCCGTTTCGCAAAGCGGATACCATATTTTAGTAGACTTTGAAATAAACCTATATATATACTGTTACATATATTTTAGTTCCACTTGATATCAACATGGATGATGATTTTGAAGTGACAGATTCACAACTTTGTGCTGTAAACTTTGATGTTCCTCTGACAAGGTATATTTATATATTGACTATGTAGGATTGTAATGTACATTATTTGAATCTGTCGGGTTAATGTGTATAGAAAGGGCAAGGGGGTAACTTATATGTGTGCCATGCTCACTTTACTAAAAACAGTATACCTGAATGTGTAATGAGGAAGTACATTTTATTATGAATCCGAATCCGAAGATTTACTAAAGATTACACAGCGAGGGGTTTATTTTTAGTAAAGATCCAATTTTCTTTTCTACGGATCCTCCGGGTTCCTCCCACTGCTAATGTCCTCTCTTACATTTTTATGAATATTTTATGAATATTTTTAGATCCAAACCAAACGGCGTGTCGATAAAGAGTTTGGATACTAAAATAGATATCAAGGAAACAGAAGGACATACCATAATGGAAGGATTCATTAATGATGCTTCAAAATTAAAGTAAGTAATTTATGTTCATCTCGCTTAAGGTCTATGCACGCCAAGAATTATTAGTATGGAGTGCGTGGGGTGTTTTGCTGGACAGATTGTTGCCGGCAAGATATTGAGCTTTCAGCAACAAATAATCTTTAGGCCCGTTTTCCATGTACGCGTTTCCCGTGCGTCTTCGCCGGCGAAACAGTTGGTCTAATGCAGATGTAATATGACCGTTTCAATGTAACGGGTGAAAACAAGGGGCTTTAATGTTTGCGGACCTTTAGAATTTTAACTCATCACAGAAAATGGAAAAAACATATCGCGGGGTATCTTAGTTCAATAATCCAATTGGGCAAATAGTTTCTGTTCTTTAAGTTTTATTTTTTTCTTGTCCTGTACAAATGTCAAATTATCTGTATTGGATTTATTATTTCAGTAAATTGATTTTGAAGACAAAAAGAGAAATTGAAGCCATGAAAAGAAGAAAGGGACAAAACGTACCGATTGGCATGCTTCATAATAATAAATGAAGTGTTCAAGAAATGTTAATCATTCTATGTTTCTATGTATTATAATTTATAAAGATGCAAATTATGTTATTAATTTTTTAATATATTGTGTGTGCAATTGTTGTTTATTACCACTTGACAATGGTTAACACAATAATTGGATTTACAAATTGTTAATATTATTGACATTGCTCTGTCGGAACAATTATAATGGTATGGACATCAGTATAATGTACCTTAACATATTTTAAATTAAATGCACTTTCCTTATAAAGTTTACTCTTGACAATGAAATATATTTTATAGTAAATGCTCTTTCCATATTGTGGTTTTTAACAATTATGCAATATGGAAGCATTTCACCTCTATGTGTTATTTTTGGTTAATGTTTATAATTATTGTTAAATGAATTAATAACTAAATTATTTTATTTTATAATTAAATTAATCTATAAGCAGATTTTAAACAGTGATCAGTCTATTGGCAATTTTGATTATAATCAAGTGTTCAATGAGTACTGATTAATCTGGTGAGAGGATAGTGTGAAGTGAACACTCAGTTACAGGTACGTCAGACAAAGAATCTGACATACATAGAATTGTCAGTATATAGAATATGTTCATTGCAAGAGATTCCTCAAAAGATGTTCACAGATGGAGCCATGGTAGCTCGCTAAGCTGGAGATCCCGTGTTTCTATCCTGATGTTGGTCAAGAAAGTTCATCAGTGGTGTAGGATGGAGGGCCTGACAAGGGTAATGTATATTTGTTCGAATGGGACGAAAAACTGAGGTTCTGTGTACACACTGCCTTGCACATAAAAGAACTCTTGACAGTTGGAATTCGAAATAAAAGTATGTCGTAGTGCCGCAATCCAGGCAAAATTTCCCTCATAGCACACTGTATGCCGTATGTATGCCCGTATTCATTAGCCCAGTTGGTGCAGTTAAGTAGGTGGGGGGGGGACTCCAGACTTCTTAGGCATTAAAGTTCTTTTTACAGTGGCCACTAATGTCTATAAATATAACAATGTCCTCGGTTAAATAGAGACATATTAAAGATAGCATTACAATAAAACATTGGGGAAATAGTATGTTGTCTGCAGATCATTTTATTAGAATTTCAAGAAAATGTTAATTCAATCAGCTCGATCGCCACCACTCTGTGCACTTGAAAACACAAATACTAATCAACATGGTATAATAGGGTAATGCATGTACAAAGTTTTGTAAAGGTATTGTCAGTGGTTCCTGATGGACATTACCATATTCCTCTCCTTAACTTTGTTTATCTCCAACTCTCTAGTGCTTATATTCATTGACAAATAAAATGTCAAGCTACCCTGACATAAACATAATACAATGTATTAAATACACAAATTGCACAATCTGCAATGGCGACACAAAATATATTTTCATGAAATACATACTACTTTTAATCATTATGTATAAATTTATTTACAATATAATACAAGTCTTTGTTAATCTTATCACAATAACTACTATGCTAAAGCATCAAAATCATCCCTCTGAAATAAAAAAAATAATAAACAATGAACTAATATTGTAAAAATCTGATTTGAGGATTTCTCCTATCACTAAAAGAGATTGCACTTGTACATCAGATCTGAGTATAGGGTTATTTGGAATATAGTAATATACAATTAATTGCATTTATTTTCTTGTTGAAAGTGTTAATGCCTGATTAAGGAATATCAAGACAAGTACATTTTTATATACAACATATATATTTATATTTAACAATGACATCAACTTACCATATCATTATATTCCATTACTTGTTTTCTAATGGCTGAAGTATCTGTCCATGTTATAAAATCTTCCATATTTCTACAACATAATAAAATTGAAAATTGAGACATTAATCATTACTCTATAGATCAGTGGTTTCTTAGAGATCCAGGTCAAAAACCTCCCCTATTTTCAATTGTCATCTAGTCATTTTTTCACCATTATACTTTTACAGTGGTAATTATTGAAACAATTTATGAAACTAAATTGCTGTATTAACTACAGTCACTGTCCATTTTGAATACGTACATTTGGCCAATGGTGATATCACCATTCACATCCAAATCACCATTTGCTGCCAACTCGTAATAGCCACAGTTATCAAATGCCATATGCCATAGTTTGGAGTTCCTTTCCCCTCTTAGATTTGAATATCTTCCTGCAGCAACCAAGGCCATGGATGATAGGTAAAGAAAAACTCTTGGTAACATTGTTATGTGGCCAAATTGTAGAGTCTGAGACTTTTTACCTTGTGATTTTTCATATCCGAACCCAACAAACCCAACATATACATAAATCTTCCACATAAATCTTCCACGAAATCGTATTTTTTACCAAAATGGTGATGATTTTTTTTCTTTCCCCAGACATCAGTCTAAGAGAATGTTATTTGTAGCATGGGTTGCACCACCCTTAACTGGTCATAGCTTTCAAATAAAATCCATATAGGAAATATTTTCTCTTATCTGGAATTACCTCCCTTGTGTCACCAAAACCATCCATTTACTGCTTGGTAAAACATACATGTATATACTGGTAATTACTACTCACTTTCTTTCCTCATGGGATTGAAATAATATTTTATAAAACTCACCGAGTGACTAAGAAAGCTGGATCTGTGACTACTTCTGGACCAACTCTTATATCTTTACAGAGTTATGGTAAATAATGGTGTGAAGATGCGGGTAGAATAATTGGTACACTATTTAAAGTGGCCTTACCGGTCAAGTTTTTATTTTCTATGACCAATCGAAGAGAGCAGAATCGTGTGTCATCCACTTGCATGAAGTGATATTTTATGTACATTTCATTTGAATGATCCATCAGATGCTACCTACCCCTGATTAATGGGTCTACATCTTCGATGTCAAAATAGGGTAAATCATAGAATTTTAAGACATCGAAAAAGATAGCCAGTATATAATTAAAGCAAACAGATATATACGTAGTACCTTGACCTCAATATTTGTGTATAGAAATGAGATATTGGACATCGAATGGCCTTAATTGTTGTATTGATAGATATTAATCACTTTTGCACCTATATGATTTTTAGTGACAATAATTTTTATTGTGTATGATATGACAGTCTATATTTGCCGCTAATACGGGGATAATTATATAACGTCTTTAATATATTCATTTATTTATGAAACCATAATTTACAAAAATCTCAGTAATTATTACTGCCCTATTTTGGGAGGTGAAAATAAAAGAGGAGCCCGCTTGAGTCCTGAACATCAGTGTAAGATGCAGTACTGGTACCCACCATTTATTTTTTGATTTATCCGTTGCACAAGTTTTTAATAGCAGATTTTAAAGGATACGTCCTTGTTCAATAAAAGTTGTTGCTGCTTTCAGAGTTTCTGCCATATTCAACTTAAACATGACAACAGGTAAACGCCGTCTGTAAAAAAAAAATTACACTTAAACAAATGATTTGAAAAAAATATTGTCAACATAACCTATTTTAGAAGAAGCTTAAAATCGTCTTAATGTCAATAGATAACTGTTAGTATTATTCAAATTATGGCCTTGCTGGCAGTGTTTCAAATTCTGAATCAGAAGTATGGTATTAATTTATTACATTACAAACATTTTCCAAAAGTTTCAAAACATTTTTTAAAAAAAAAATACACCCAAAAACCCATGAAGTAAGCTGCTGTTTTCTTGTCAGTCTAAGGAGTGGTTTAACCATTTTATTTTAATTGAATATTTATATTTAATGACCTGAAACAGATATTACAATTAAACACAGCAGCATTCTGTGTTTCTACCCTTTTAATCTAAACACATAGCACAAAAATATACTGCTGGCAGGCACCATGCAAAGAGGGGTGGGGGGATGCTTTGAGCTTAAGCGATATAAGCACTTTCCTTAGGGGTCATTTCTAATAATAAAACTATTACTGGTGTAAAACTATACCTGCAAAAACTTGAAGCTGTAACATCATCTGCTTTTCCTAAATTAGATTTTCTGTCAATCAAACCTAATCCATATCTGTAATAAACATTGAGAAAATAAACCAAAAATAACTAATGACAAAAGACAAGAAAATCTAATTATAATTTATACAGAAACATTTTATGATACAGGTAAGTAACTTACTATCATAGAACTGTGTACTAATAATACTGGTAAATGCACACAATGAAACCAGAGATCTTAATCGGCTGATTATAGTCAGCTTCAGTCACTTGATGTTTGAAAATACCAACTAATAAACCAATCAATCGGCCACTATTATGAAACACAGATAAAAACCGACTATAAAAACAATTCTATGGAATAAAATGATTGCTTGATAAAGACTAGAGAAGGATACATGTAGATGAAACATCGCTCAGTAATAAACCGTAATTGTATTCCATAGAATTATGACCCGTGTAATACCAGTTAAAGATACTTTCCCAGAAAAATATTTATAGGATGGTTATTCCAATAAAAGTATGGCAATTTTGGTATATATGGAAAGTAGAAACATCCAATGATACTAGAAAAATACTGGATTCCCTGAAAAACACTCATACAGTGGATACAGGACAAAAATGTAAGGGTTTCCCTAACCGGCAACCCGACGATTAGTGATGTCTGCTCGAGTAGCATCTTTGGTAGCACGCGAAGATTGTCTAATCTCCCAGCGTTAGTGAGCGCTTAATGTATATGTTGTTACACTTGATGGTACAACAGTTTCTGTGTTTTTGTGTTAAAAATCACAGAAAAAGACTTGGGCAGTGTATAATGTGAAAATTTATTGGGCTTCGATATGTATAATAAATAGTCAGCAACTAAAGACAAGATCGTGTTGTATATGCAATCAGTTCTCTGTCTTCGCACCTGTTGCTAGGTACTGAGACTGCTAAGTCATGTGACACATATATGACCTTTTTTGGTCGATTTTTTATAGCAGGGGTATTCCCTGACAATTACAATGTTTTGAGAAGGATTTGAAGCAAAATTATGATAAATATATTAGTTTGAATATGTTTTTAGTCCAAAAATATCATCAAATCACCCAGTTTGTATGCGGGAAGGTATCTTTAAATTACTAAATATCATTAAAACAATTTGTAAACAATTAATTATTGAATACTGAATTACCAAATCAAGTGAATTGATTTACCTCAGGTGCCCTTATTAACCTTTGTTTTGTTTTTTTATTTTGGTATGCATAATTCAAAGTGGAATAATAGTGAAGATTACCTAATAACAAAAACTGAAAACAATAGGATTAATTACAATATCAAAATCAAAGATGATTGTGATTTTGAATCTTTATGTTCAGTTATTTTTAAAATTCAAAACGGAAATATGATCTGAAATATATCAACTCCAAGTAGGATTACAGCACTTCACATTTTATAAGTAGGCCGTCTGTTTATTTTTGAAGCAGTCGTCCTCATGTACAATTCTGTAATGTTATATAAATATGGCCAGTCACGATCTGGTAATTACATAATTATGTAAATCCAGCTTAGGATTTCTTTACAGTAGGATATTGTCAAGATAAAGAATAAAAAAAAATACTTATAACCTTTAAGTGTTTAAAGTGAATGGAGTTCAACATCTTGTCAACACCTTACTTGGTTCATAATTTAAGATTAACATTTTATTTTTTTGTATTTCTGATATGTGCAATGCAAGGTGGAGAATTTTGCTCGGATAGCAGTATTTCCACTATTGAATCCCAACTGGCAAGGGATCTTTCACATGCACTACCACTAACAATTTATACACAGAACCAGGGTTTCTGTCCAATCTGCACACTAAAACATACGTCCCATGTGGGATCTAGAATTGAAAAAATCCTAAAGGTTCTTCTCTGCCCTAGACTTAAAGGGACATGAGACAGACCAAAGGACAAATTTAGAGTCGAAGACAAGAAGTCTATACACAACCCAATTTATTGGTCTAAAAATAATTGAAATTCACCAGTTTACATTATTTAGCCTGGCCATCTTTTTGAAGTGGTGTCTGTAATGATTTAAAATGTATTTAGATTTATGTATAGAATCCCCTAGTATCAAGATGTCTACTGGCTTACATGTTTCAATCTTTAAATAACTATACTCCTTAGATTCCTAATTGTTCTATAATTTAAATGAAAAGCCCAGTTCTCACTAGTTACCTTATCTGGAATTTTCAGTTCAAAATATTGAGCCATTTGAAAATGATCGATAAAACAACTATGTAGGCTATGTACCTCAAATTTTTCATTCAAAGACAAAATTCACTTCCAACTGTCTGCTGATAGACAGTTTTCTACACAATTGTATAAATTGGTTCTTATGTGATGCCCTATCTGCACCCGACTGTTGTTGACTAAGGAATACATGTATATGAATTACCTGGTATACACCAGCTCAGTTCCTTGTTCATAGGACCTAAGCAAAACCATATTGATTACATATCTATTTAGGTTGTTCATTTTCATATAGCACCATTATTTTTAAAAAAATGCTGATAAATATTTCAGGGATTTCCCATTTCAATTTTGAACTTTGGTATTCATGGGCCCCATAGACTCTTAAGGGCTCTGGGGTGGCACACCGGTTGCACCCCCACTTCCTTGAGGCCTGACTCTGAGTAATTACACAGATATGATGAATCGAATATTTAGGTATCCTCTAAATACAAATTTAAACAACTGTTCCCATCTATAGCGTAAAACCATTCAACTGGCCTATTTTTCATCCGTTTGGATTTAAATCGGTAGATTATCTACCTTTGATATTTTGGTTTTGTTTCTTAATTAAAAATATATTATATGAGATTTAGATAAAGAACTGGCCATTCTTGCTATAATAGCTCAAAAATTGATAATTCAAAATGAATATATTGAAAATTTCATTCAATTTTCTTTATTCTGAGCGAAGATATTAGCCTTTGAAGGTTTAACAAGATGTTTGCACTGATTGTAACCACTGCACTCATTGTTCAAGGCTAAGCCTTGCTTCATCATTTTTACGGTAAATCATTAAATGGCCGAACCATTCTAATCTGCTTAAAATCGGACCTATCCAATGGCATCAACAGTTGATTATGGTCTTGTCATGTTAATAAATGTCTAATATATATAACATTTAAGGCCCAAAGAAAGACCTGCAATAGGCAGATTTAGCTCTTGCATAATGCCTGTTTAAATGTAATTAAACTCAAATATAATTTTGCATCAATAATGCAGTGAAAAATTAGATATTGACAAAAATTGGCTGATCAGGATCATGAACTTTAATATCATCATATGTCTATTTTCTTTCAAAGACCCTACTTTTAATCATTAATATAATCCTTTGATTTAAATTATTTATGTATTTGTATATTTTTGAAGCTTATTACTAGGCCTGCTGTATATTGTAAATTTTACTAGTAAATATTTCATGATCAAAGTCACTTATTTATAAAGTTATAAAGTATGGTACCCAGTCAAACAACGACCTTGGTAATCACTAAATCTACAATTAATAAGTCAACCCATCATATTTACTTACAAGTGAAATAGACTTGCTCTTTTATACACACACCTTCAAATCATTCTTTAAAAAATTGTAATTTAATTACAAGTATTTAGAGGTTCAGTGATTTGAATGACCTTTAAGTAATAGTTTGGTGGGAAAGTTTACACATTAATGAGAATTTTCCAAAGTTTTGACTGATATGACAGAATTTGACATATTAAATTTCAAACAATTGATGTTTTTTGTGAGAATAAGAGAGAGGTGTTAAATTCTGACAGTGATGAACTATATAGGTAGATAAAATGATTAAAATTAAAGGGAAAGTCCCAAATTTCAAATATATCCCCATTTTCTTTAAACTGGGGAGTTATCTAAATTATTAATTAGACATTAATTAACTTATCCAGACCATATTCAACTCTCGATGCCATCGCTAGCCTGCGATATTTAGCGGATTGGAATACACTTTTTGAAAAATAATTAAATCAATAAATGGATAATCAAGACTTTTATTATATCGACTTTAGTAATGATAATCGAAGCTATTCTAACATTCAAAGCTAATATCTTGGTTCAGAATGCAGCAATCTGACTGAAATTTTCAGCATATTCTATTTACATTATCTTTTTTTTAACTATAATAGCAAGAACAGTCAACTCTTTATCTAATCTCCCATAATGCCCCTTTAAGTCATAAAAAGTCCCCAGATTACAAATTGATAATTGGCTGAAATCTCAGATAACTATCTCCAGAAATTTTCTCACCGTTTTTGGTATAAACATGTTACAGAAACACAATGAGTATCAAGTAATTTATATAAAGAAGGTGAGAAAGCGTGTAAAACTTCAATAATAGAGAGATCAACCATGATAAAAAATAGTCTCAAAGTTCAGCTTCAATACAGAAACAAATTTTAATTTAAAAGGATATGGTGATATTGCATTACTATTGAGAAAATTAATATTTAATTTATGTTAAAAGAATCAAAATTACTTGACACATGGAATAGCTTTGCAAAAAAACGAAAAATCTATTTAGTCATTTTTTGTATATTTCGTCAGAATAAACCTATATAAATGTATATCATGACTTGTCATGCTTTAAAAATAATAATTTTATTAAAATATGACTTATATACAAAGAGGGTGGATTGTAGTAAGCCTAATTTGCCTTTAGAATTGATAAAAATAACATAAAATGTTGTTATGTGTGATACATTAGAAATAAAATTTTCACTACCGAAATCCTACAATAGGAATAAAATTCAGTAAGTTTCAAGAGAGAATTGATGTTTAATGTTCAACATAAATTTGGTCATATCAGGACCAACTTTATGGTATATTTCTATTTCAATAATTCACCTTTGAGTCAGGGTCTTTAGCAGTAAGAGACAACCAGAGTAAACCTACAATAGGCACTGCTGTGTCATGTATTAATAGGCCTGGGATCAAAACCACTACACTTTAAAAAAAAAAAAACTCAATACAAGCAGGTGATTTCAGTTATTATATAGTATTTAAACTATGTAGGCAGGACTGATT